ACAAAAATACAATCTACAGTACTATAATGCTCTCTAAAGCCAGCTTGTTCCTCAATAAGAATAGAATATTTATCACACCACTTGGCTACCCTCGAGTTTAACATACTGGTTAACAACTTGCGAATATCGATGCTCATAGGGTCATGACCATATAATGTGGAACTCTTTTGTGTATATCATTAGATATTACTAAAACTGACGCCTGCATATGTTTATGAACGTGAAAATAAAAACGTTTATATGAATATTGTCTAGGAATATATTTGAAATGTTTTGTATTTAAAGCAATACGTTTCTGTCGTAATAGATCTTAATCAAATGTTCCTCTGTGATAAAGCAAACAAGTTTAGAATAAATCTTCACCTAGGACCTTCTTCAGCTAGCCGGATTGTGGAAAGGTAGCTATCTGCACTGGTATAAGGTGATCACTAGCCGGATTGTGGAATGGTAGCTATCTGCACTGGTATCCAGTGATCACTAGCCGGATTGTGGAATGGTAGCTATCTGCACTGGTATCCAGGTGATCACTAGCCGGATTGTGGAATGGTAGCTATCTGCACTGGTATCCAGTGATCACTAGCCGGATTGTGGAATGGTAGCTATCTGCACTGGTATCCAGTGATCACTAGCCGGATTGTGGAATGGTAGCTATCTGCACTGGTATCCAGTGATCACTAGCCGGATTGTGGAATGGTAGCTATCTGTACTGGTATCCGGTGATCAATATCGTGGTTTATGCACAAGTGAGTCTTAAATTATATTTTGCCTTTTGTCGCTGTTGCTTTAGCTTTCGAAAGGTCATCGATGCATTACAGGGAAATTTTAACCAAAATAATAATTACCCACATATTCTGGTTAACTGTCTTGAAAATATAGAAGAGTCATCTATATTACCATTTGCCGTTACACCATCAGAGTCCAGTGCATTTAAGTGAGGACTGGTTGCGCTTGCATATGTTGTTGCATCCCTTTCTGCAGCCACAAGAGACCACCGCCTGACAAGACGTTGATGCGTGGTGAAATGTCGTCCATTAGGGAACATGTTTACCACTTTCCTGCTGTACCCAGAGTAAAGGTGATCTACCTTCTGTTAAAGTTGTTGGCGATCTATAGCCCGTTTTTATATTGTATTGTCCAAATAGTTTTATTAGGTTTAACTTTCCACGCTAGATTTAATTCTAATAATATTCTAGTTGTTTTACTGTCCTTCGTCGACAGGTTTTTATAATAAACATATATTCCATTTCAATGTCAAATATGTTCTCGTCACGATATGGCTGAAATATTGCCGATGTGACGTTAAATATTAACTCACTCACTCACTCACTGTATTCAGAGTAAAGGCTGTGGAAGAAGTGACTTATCCCATATATGTCCGGCCTGGTAAGATGTTTTCTTTACATGCTGTACAAGAGCTGCATGCACTGGTCGGATGGCATGTTTTGAGTTTTACTGAAAGCACAACAACATCTGCAACTACTGTTCGTAACATAAGCTTTTCATGGCCATGAGCAACATGAAATATGATGTGAATATCGGTTTCATGATGACTGCAATTCAAGGGACAAGTGATGACATTCATCAAGGGCTTTGACAGTACTCGGTTTCAACTTTTGAACAGTGACAGCTCCGTCAATAATTGAAGTAGAAACAGTTGCCTCTTCTGATATTGCTGTAATATATGTTTCAATATGTGCCAATAGGTCATGTTTCGTATCAGTGCGAAAGCATCATTTTTTTGTTGGGGATGGTGTCTGCTTTTCATGCTGATCAGAATCATCTAAATTTGACTGACGCCTAATGTACACTCTGATAAGAGTTCTACGACACTCTTCATTCATCAGCCTCCCACACACCCTTGAGTGAGTGAGTGAGTTAAATTTAAAGTCACGTGAATCAATTCAGCCATATCGTGACTGAGAGTTGTATATATCAAAAATAAGATTAGACAAACTAAACATCTGTCGACTAAGGACAGTAAGATAACTAGACTATCACAGATTAAGACCTAAAACTAGCAATTATCATAAAACAATAATTAAACATGCAACAATACAATATAAAAATGGGCTATAGATCACCAACAACTGAAGGTAGATCACCATACTAGAGACCATAGGGACTTACAGTAGTTCTGCTACCTGCATGGACCCTAGCTGGATTGATACCGACCCTTCAGATGTAAGCGATTTTGAGCAAATCAGCCATGGATTAAACGAATACATATTCTACGATTTAAAACATAGAACGAATAAATAGCCTTTAAATAACGTGGTCTAAGGTACCCACTCACCCTTGAGTTACACAAACGAGCCTTCACACATATACCCATGGCAAGCCAACAGTAGAATGGTACACTCAACATAAGGAACCGTGCTGTATTTGCTGTATGGGGATGTGTATTGCCGTGGAGAGCTTGAAGAACGTCGGCTAGGGTGACCACCTCATCTCATTAGTCGCTTCTTACGACAGCATGGATTCCAAAAGACCAATTCAAACTCGCACCTTCACGGGCGTGTGCAGAAAATACTAAATACTACTTTGCCTTTCCTCGCTACTGTTTTGGCTTTGGAAAGGCCATCAATGCATTACAGGGAAATTTTGATTATATTATAATTGCCCACATATTCTAGTTATATGTCTAGAGAGTCCAGTGTATTTAAGCGAGGACTGGTTGCACTTGCATATGTTGTTACACCCCTTTCTGCAGCCACAAAAGACCACCTCCTGAGAAGACGTTGATGCGTGGTGAAGTGTCGTCCATTAGGGAACATATTTACTTCTTTCCTGCTGTACCCAGAGTTAAGGCTGTGGAAGAAGTGACTTGTCCCATATATGTCCTGCCTGGTAAGATGTTTTTAACATGCTGGACAAGAGCGTTGCCACACTCGGTCTACCACTCCTAGACCTGTCTGACGTATTGCCTGTCTGACGTATTGCCGCTGTATCAGTCTGATGACAGTTGCTCTGGTGCAACCGAATCTGGCAATGACGGTGTGGTTAGGTCCTTATTGGGCCATTCCGATAGCTCTTTCTTTAGATTTGCCTCAAACGTGGCACATTTTTGTGTATTTTTTTCTATTGTGTTTCTCAGCGTAGGTTGTTTTATACCGTCAGCATACACGTGCATTTCGTGTTACATCAGAAAATGTCGTTTTGGATTTTTTGGCGATTTGTTAACTTGTTTCGCCGTTTGTTCCCGGAAAGGATTGGTCTGTCCCCGTGTGACATGGCTCAGTATGGTGTTATCACTACATTTGTGTTTTTGTGAATTTTTCTGGGGTTCTATACTTTCTTTTGATCACTAGTTCACAGATTAGGTTTAATGTCCCGAAGAAGCTGTCAGTGATATACGATATCTGTGGACAGATACAGCTGCGATGCTCAAAGGCCAGGCATTGAGCGCTCTATACTGAATGTGAGCGATACCTGAGAAAGCACATACACGAAGTGTAACGAAGGGTAACGAAACGTAACGAAGTGTCCATGATTTGAATGGTATATACAAAGGGGTTGGAATCACACTCGAATGAATCCGGTACTCGCTGGTCGACAAGTTTATGTGTGAACCATATGATCAGCGATGTGGAAACAAACATATTCTACTGCCATGTCTAGATTTTTACGTTTGTTAAAATGACTGAGCTTGTGTGCGATTGAAGTGTAAAGTAACGTAGAACGCCACACTCAGCAATATTCCAGCTATATGGTGGCGGTCTGTAAATAATCCGACTAGGTTAGGTTACCGACGACAGTGCATTAAGTGTATAATAGTGGCAGAGACATATATGATCCATTTTTTCTTTGATCAAAATTGTTACTCCACGCTGGGTATGGGAAAGTGAGTGATTGAGTTTTACGTAGCACTCAGCAATATTCCAGCTATATAGCGTCCGTCTGTAAATAATCGAGTCTGCACCAGACAATCCAGTGATCAACATCATGAACATCGATCTACGCATATGGGAACCGATGACATGTGTCTACCAAGTCAGATCCTAACCACCCGATCCCGTTAGTCGCCTATCACGACATGCATGGGTTACTGAAGATAAAATGTAACCCGGATCTTCACGGGTCATAGACGAGCAAGGTAGTACAGTCAACGTAGTATGTGGTTATTTAAAGTAATTGCGTGAGTGTGGTTTAGCCGCAGCACTGCCATGGCGGAGGGAGAGAGAGGGGTATTTGAACAATCTAGCTACCTCACGCATGGTATTTGTAATAATAAGGAACACAGATCGCCCCATCCCTAACCACCCTGACAATATATGTGTATGCCTTGTCCATCATGTCAAACATTGCATTGCATTAAACTGGTGGCATTACAAAGTGAAATGAAATTACGTGGTACGTGACATATGTCCTAACTCTAGGTAGCAACATCCAAAGTCAGGATGTTGGATGTTCTCGGAACATTATGTGTATGTTTATTGTAGTAGGAACGCCTAAATTAAAGTTAGTGGTAGCCTTTTATCGTCTTCGCTGCAGCTGTAAAAGACAAATTGACGTTGGTGGTTGCCTTTAGCCGTTTTACTGTGGTAGGAACGATCGAAGTGACGTTGTGGTAGCCTTTTATCTCTTTGTTGAGAACACATCGAAATTATCCTGGCGGAAGACACACTCAAATGCAGGTTGACTTCAAAAACCTTCAAACCGGCCACTGATCATTGGATACCAGTGTTGATGGCTAAACTTCCACAATCCGGCTTGTGATCACCGCATACCAGTGCAGATAGCTATCCTTCAACAGTACATCGAATGATCACCGTATATCAGGTCCTCTCGCCTGATCTGGGTCGATCCGTCTCGCCTGACCTGGGTCGATCCGTCTCGCCTGACCTGGGTCGATCCGTCTCGCCTAACCTGGGTCGACTCGCCCGACCGCGCAAGAAATGTATAAATATGCGAGAGTTGATACACTTCTGCTTCAATGCGTCGCTATATCTTGCACTGTCGTGTTTGTGAGTTTTCTAACGCTTGACTATATATAGCATGGTCAGACAAAAGCTGCATTGACCCCGGCAAACAAGAACCTGGAATATAAAATACGAAACACTCCAGCTAAACGCGTTATGTTTACAAGTTTATGAATGTGCATGCCCTTTTTATTACTGCATGTACTATTGGACCCGGATTTCAACTTTCAGGGTCAAAGGCGAACTAAATATCGCGGTGATCTGGCATAACGTGTTTCACGATGGAGGCTGCAGTAGACGTAGCAGCCAAGTGGGTTGAGGAGAACATCACCGTTCTGACATGTGGGGGGATATCAGTACTGGTCCTTATTGCCAGTACCCTGTACCTCACCTGCTGCAGGGGCGGGGGTGGACGCGCACCCCCGGGACCAACAAAATGGCCGCTGGTGGGTTCCTTCCTGAATATGGCGTTGTTAGGGCGAGACAAACCTCATCATTTCTTCCCAATGATACACAAGAAGTACGGCCAAATTGCCAGGATATATTTTGGACAATATCCTGTGATTGTTGTGTCTGGATATAATGCTATAGAAGAGGTGTTTGTGAAACAGGAAGAGAACACCATCGACAGACCTAGCTTCGTCCCGGGAGTTAAGGCCGTTAAACGCATTGGGAGAGGTACGTACTGGGAGTGAGCTTGTGTTTGACATGTCTATTTTCAGGGATTGGCTTCATGTTAAACTGAGGAATGCAGCAGTACATCTATATCTATATCAACGCGTCTCGTGGTTTATGCACTAGCGAGTCTGGTTGGAGTTAAGCGGACAACATATTTAAGTGATTGGTTTAATATAGTGATTGGGTAAATATTGTGTTCCTATACTAAAACCTATAATTGGAGTTTAGACATATTGGTAAAATATATTGCTTTATAAACTTGACCCAAAGCATCGTCGACGAGAATGCACGTTGTTGTCCTACGCCCCCTGCTTGTAATAACTATATAGTAGCAGGGTTGGATGGAGACATACCCTGACGCTGCTCATTACATCAACCATTGGTTTTACAGGCCACTGCAACTGAAAAGATGCGAAACACCCGCTTCTTTGATATTACTACGCTGACCGGTGAAAACCCGGGTTAGAGTTGGTCTTCAGTAACCGTTTTTGGTCGTAAGAGGCGACTAACGGGATCGGGTGGTCAGGATCGCCGACTTGGTTGACACATGTCAACTGCGTAGATGCTCATGATATCAATCACTGGATTGTCTCTTTCAGACTTGATTATTTAGAGACCGCCGCTATATAGCTGGCATATTGTTGAGTGCGGCGTTAAACAGCAAAAACAACAATGACATATTTTAGTGCTATGAGGTGAGGTGAAATGGGATTTAACGTCGTACTTGAGAATACTTCGCTCATATGACGAGGTGCATGCGTGTGTATGTGTGGCTGCTTGTACTAGCCCAGACTTTAGCTGGTTTTATAGTGCTAGCTCACTGAGATACCATGCTGCAGTGAAGCATGAATACCCCACTCAGACACATTATACTGACTCCGAGCCGACCAGTCCTTGTTGTACCCATAAATGCCGAGCGATAGGCAGGGACCAACAAGTTTTAACGTCTGTCGGTATGGCGCGGCTGCTGATCGACCCCGGGACCTTCCGCTCTCCGGACGGACGCTCTCACCACACCACGGTGGCGGTCTCACTGTGCTATGACCCATTAACTACGTGATACTAAGTTAACCTTTTGGCAGTGAGTTAAGGTTTCTAGTCACATCGCAAGTATTTCATCCATACAGTGACCTAGACAGGGTTTACATTCATGACACATATCGAAAATATGAAAATACCACGTTGGGTTTTTTTTGTTTTTTTGTTTTGGTTTTTTTGCGGGGTGTGTCTGTGTGTGTGTGTGTGTGTTTGTTTTTTTGTTTGCTCATTTTAGGTATCCCTCAGCTTGATGTTGCTGCATGTTTCTTCTCTTTCACTGTTATCTGAATATCGTCCGTATATACCGTATTTCCCCTACTAAGCGCCTGGTTCAACGGTGTTCCAGACCCGGCGCTTACTGGGTCTAATTACCATAATTGTTAGTGAGCTGCTTTACCTACCGGCACTTATTAGAGGAAATTCGGTAATTATGTTTCTTAAATCTAGAGACGATGTCTCCGCATGTCGTTAAAAGGCACATTTTCTATTTGTCACATAAATAACTTCATTAGTCTCCAGGGAGTAATGGTTAGGTGACAAAAAAATATTAAATATTTTCATCTAAGAGTTTCAGAAGACACATGACATTGATGACTTTTTTGTGTATATGTCATATGGATGTTTAATCGAAGACGTTCTTGTGAAAAATACTGATGCTGTAGTATTTTAGTTGAATGTCACACTGTTGTTACGAAGTGATTTCCAAACTGAAACACAAGCTACAAAAACATTATTTCCAAAGTAAAATAAAATGTTACAGTAGACACTCGAGGCTAATTATTCAATGGTGTTCATGTTGTTAATTTATGTAGGCACCATCAGTTTTCAAAATACTGCCCCACCCAGAAACGTTTCGAGCTATCAAAGCGTGTCGTGTACATGTAGATAACAAAGGTAGATAACTCTAAATTGAAGTAAAAAGCACTTCTCGCTATCGCCGACCGCTTTTGCATCTGGCCAGACATATTTGTTCTCCTTCAATTTGTGGCTGTCTTTTAATATTGCTCCCAAAGCATTTACAAACTTTCTCCCAAGACAAATATTTACACATAACACTGTAGACACCAAGTTACCATATTTGACATACTCTTCGTTTCAGGAGTTCTGTTTGCCAGTGGTGAGGACTGGGCAGGGCCAGGAAAACTGCTGCGATCAAGTCTTGCTACCATTGTTAACAGTGTGGAATATGAAACAATCTTAACCGAGGAGATAAAGATACTTATTGATGACTTCTCGAAGGCGGGACAGATCAGCTTTCAGCCTGGGGGCACCATAGAGAAGGCAGTCCTGACTTGTCGATATGCCGCAATCACTGGAAAGAGGTTCGTTTATATTTTTCTAATTCCAATAGAGACCTGGAGAGGATTTCAGGAGCACAGAAACCTTCTTTGAAAAGTCGATGAAACACACAGACCCTTGGGAGAACTGTATGCATTATTACTGCGTTGTTTAGGAGATAGACAGACCTCCCAGGGGAGGTCAAGAAGAAGCATGATCCTCTTTGAAGCGTAAAGGGGAAACTCGGACCTAGTTTTCCAGGGGAAACACCTCCTTGAACGATTCCAGCTGTAATGCATACCACTTAGAGAGTTCCAGGGAATAATATATAATATTATCATAATGATAATGGTATTGACTTGTGTTTATCTCAATGTAAATCACATTTGCAATCTAGTTAAAACATTTTCTATTTTTAACCATTTGTACCAGTTGTTTGGAGGGTAATATGGAACTTAATATTGAAGTTTCTGTTACACTTTCTGTGATCGTGTAAATAAAGTATCCACGCATGGCTCATAGCTTTAACCTAAATGTGTTGGGCATTTTCATACAATCAATGCTATCATGATTGATTTACTGTAAATGAGTGACCCATGATGGTGAAAGCTGCGTGTGGTAACACATATGAACTTTCATCAGTCAAGCTTGTTACATCTAGCTTTGTAGTTGTATGTGACGTAAACGTCAGAATCATGAACATATGGTGATACAACCTATATATGAAATTATTAGTCAAATACGAAAATACAGAATACAATATATCTAATACTAATATCATCTGATGCTTGTATTATACTTTGTTTGTGTAATACATTTTACAGACTGGCACATACTGATCCTAGTCTTGAGAGGTTGCTGGTGTATTTAGATGATATTTCAAGGTATGGCGGGACATTCTCTCCTCTAGCCATAGTACCTCTGCTGAAGTATCTTCCATTCACTGGCAAGGTGGGTCAAACCATATACTTGTCATTCATCTTGCTCTGTATGTAGTGTTTTTTCAGATTAGAAGCAGTCAGATAGGCTTAAATCACTTATCACATGCAGAACATGCAGAACATCACTGACGAGTAAACATAGTAATATTTCCGAACATAATCTTCGAAATCAGATATATGGGATATTTACAGAAATCTTGTTTACAGATTCGTAAATCGCAAACTTTCGTATTTCAGGCGTACCGAAATTTGATAGGAGCATACGACGGTCTTCAAGCAATGTTGAAGGCAGAGGTCGAAGACAGAAAGCAAAACTATGAGGGTCGAGCACAGTCTGTTCTTGACTTCTTCCTTGAGGAGCAAAAGAGCAACCCGGAGTCAACTCACTATTCAGGTACCGTCCTTTATAAAATGCCGACATTCTTGTAGAATCGAAAATATGACTTGCCAATATGAACACCACAGTAATATATTGAACTTGATCAATATGAATATGAGAACAATTTGATCTAGACACTTTAGTCTACATTCCGATAAATAGGCATAGTATGGTATCTCAGGAGCGTATGGCGTCATGCGTTGTATTTTGACGCAATGGTATTCCAGCGTGACTTCATGTCGAACGACTGTGAGAAGAACATCCGCAAATGTAATAACAATAATGCTCCTGGAGACCTATTGTCACGACCTCACAGCTTACAAAGATGCTCAACAGGCACATATTGCACCTAAGTCTCGCATTTTCATCACTTACACTGCAATATATAGTATGACCAGAAATTATTGAGAATTTTAGGAATATGTTTAATTAGGATTTAGTATAAAACAACCTTGACCGGCTATCAAGTGCATGGTTTCATTCAAGAGAGACAAATCCGTTAATCCTTTTCATTAGTTTGTGAAGGGTTATCCCCCTTTGTTTACTTTGTATAACCTAAATGTGTATTGACGACCATATGGAAAACATATTTGTTCTTGTCCCAATGTTTCAGGAGGTATATGTGTTTGAAGAAGGTGACTCGTTTGTTTGAGTCATTTAAGTCCAAACTTACGAATGAAACACAGGTTTCAACATAAATTTTCATTTTTTTACCCGTTCGGGTTACAGTTGATCAAACAAATACCGCATGTCCTCGAAATGTTGTATCTTGTTATGTGCTTCTTTCAGTTGTTAAATTTTGTTTTTATTTTTTATTTTTTTTTATTTTTTTATTTTTTTGTTTTTTATTTTTTATTTATTTATTTTTTTTTTTTGGGGGAGTTCAGTATTATGTTACTTTAAAAATATAATTACATGCGATTTCTTGTAGAATTGGAAATGGGAATTGGGAATTATTGTATTTAGATGAATGTCTCATGTGCAACTCTAACGATAACGGTGCATATCTTCTTCCTGTAAATCTTGAAATGTAAGGTACATTTGTCCTGCAGATGGCAATATAGCGGTGAGTCTGGAGGAGTGTTGCACCGCAGGGGAACCCCCCATTGGATGGACTGTCGTTTGGGCTGTGATTTACGCAACAGCACATCCCAGTGTGCAAACAAAGTGCCAAGAAGAGATTGACAAGGTGACAACACACCCTGGCTGATGTTGGATCATGGTAGCTGAGTACAGTAGAACACGGTTATAGCGAACACGGTTATAGCAAACACGGATACGACGAAAAGATAACTAACTGAGCATTTTGTGATCAGATTATTTGTTCCAGAAAAAGGGAAAATATCATTTTACATCCGCTTTTACTGAATAAATTATATTGTTTGCTGGGCATGCCTAATATTCTGGAAAATGTATTCTGAACTTAATTGTATGACTGATCCATTTTAAGCAGCGTTTCTGTTTCTAAAAAACTTCCGGCTGAAGATATCCTACGGAGGATGAATGATTCGTTATACATGTATAGGAGACTAGGCATCAATGGTATATTAGACTCACAAGGACATAAGCATGAACATACAATAGAACACACATGGACCTTCACTTGTAATTCCCATTGGAAAACGTGTAATACATGATATCATCTCTGTTCTCAAGGTATGTGGCAAATCTCGTCCCGTCAAGTTTTCGGACATCGACAAACTGCCCAATGTGCGTGCTGCAGTATATGAGACACAGCGTCTCGTGACAATAGGTGAGTGAGTAAATGAGATGGGCTTTACGGCAGTTCATTTAGTTCAGTAAGCTTAATAAGAGTGGAAACCCCAGTAGGATGGTCTTATGAACGGTCACATTCAGATGAACCTCACGAACAAGGGCGTTATACTGACATTTAAATAATCAATATCAGGTCGAAAGTTGGAGTCAAGCCTTAAAACACGGAATCTTGACAAAGGGAAAAAACTGTACAAAAATTGCACCACTTTCTGCTTGAAGCAGAAATTTCTTCTCAATATGGAAAGCCTGCAGTAGCTTTTGAAAAAGTCTCATCAAAGTAATGTATAAGTTTTCTTCAAATTCCAGTTCATATCTCCGCACCTCATTCAACAACAACCGATATGGACTTGAAGGGTTTCCATATTCCGAAAGACACAATTATATTCAACCACATCAGATCGGCTCACATGGACGAGACCCAGTGGAAGAACCCACAAGAGTTTGATCCTTCGCGGTTCCTGGATGGCAACAGTGTCAAATTTCCTCCAGCATTTATGCCTTTTGGAATTGGTAAAATATTAATAAATGGGTCTTCATGGGTTTCTTTTTTTTGTTACAAGTTCTTTTTAAGGCCAAAATTTAATGTTTTGGAATTTTAGTTCGCAACCGTGTGTCTGTTAATAAGCCAACAATTGCGACTATTATGCGAATCCTTATCAGCGAACATAGTTAAGAGTCAATCAAGTATATTTCTGTATTGAAGGTTATGTCAATGTGTTATAGTATAATTATTTAGTTCCGTTTTGGTATCCGGGTTAGAACTGGTCTTCTGCAACCCATGATTGTCAAACGGGATCGGGTGGTCAGGGTCGCTGACTTGGTTGACACATGTCATCGCATCCAAAATGTTGCTCATGCTGTCAATCACTGGATTCTCTGATCAAAACGCGATTGTACTCAGACCATCGTCAGCCAGCTGAAACATTGCTGAGTGCGGGGTTAAACAACAAACAAACAAAACAAAACAAACAATCATAGTATGAATATTATAGCATCACAATTACCCATATTTCAGGAGCCAGGAAGTGTGCCGGATCAGTTGTTGCTGAGAGGGAAGTCATGATGATGTTCGCAAGTCTTCTCCAGGCATTTACATTTTCCAGTACGGATGCAATGAACTACGATGGAATAGGAACCGTGGCAGGTATCCGTCCGCCTTACACCAACATCACTGTTTCCAGGAGAACCTAGAGACCAGACAGCCAATAGAAAGACCAATATATCTCACGTGGTCACGCTTGAGTGATGTAATCCTAGTTAACGCACCGGACTATGTCCACTTCCAGGCCGATGTAATTGGCATATAATGTACATTGTAACCTATCCTGTTTAGCCAAACAACATTTGGTTGATGCATCTTGCGCTCTGCGTTTGGCACAAAGACATGTGATGATATTCATCTCCAGTATCGGATGGCTGGCAAAGGGTGGATGAAAGATAGCTAATGGGAAGACCAACACCTACCATCGGATGACACTTGAACACACTGGAACCCTACCAATGCACGTCTTTGTGAATGTATTGTTGATGTCTATTCATGACGACCTATGTCTCAAAGAACATGTAATCGCTGATAACGATCGTAGTACATCAAGAATCACTGAATATAATCATTAGTTAGAATATGGTCTTCCTTGGATAAAGGTGCAAATGGTTACCTTTTTTTCAGTTGCATTGCATATTTACTGTCAACAAGGGTAGATAACTATGTTAGTCCTCATCTTTACTGTGTCCTCAGTAATCTGTACTTTTCATAAGAGGCAATTTTACAGATCGGTTGCTGAGGCTCGATGTCTTGGTCGTCATTTTACTCCTACAGCGTGTACAGTGGTCTAAGTCACTTGATTGTCTGGTCAAGATTCGATTATGTCATGTAGATGGAATATTGATGAATGCGACGTTAAACGACAAACAAAGAACCATCATCCGTGTCAGCTCACATTGGCTGTAGGCTCAGTCCCCAAGAAAACAAATAATTATTATCTCCCCGGTGTGGTACGATGAAGCGCTAGCCATATCTCATTGAGCTTGACCACTCAGTCCGAATTACAACGAGCCTTGGTTCCCTGGAACCAGTTCCATCACGAATTCCCATTGGGTTTAAAGTAATACAAACACATATTCTTATTTTCGAATCGATTATTTTAAACTGTTGCACATAGGACCTTAGTAATCTATATTTTTCATAAGAGTGAGTTAGAGAGTTTTACGCCGCTTTTAGCAACATTCCAGCAATACCACAGCAAGGGACACCTGAAATAGGCTTCACACATATTAACATGGAGGAGACGGACAAACTTCTTTGAGTGGCATTTTAGAAGCTGGGAAGTACAAAATTGACAAAATTTATGGATAACAACTTCTTTATTACGAGAGTGCGACGTTTCGATACAGGTTCTTGTACCGTTGTCAAGCCTTGCGACGTTTCGATACAGATTCTTGTACGTTGTCAAGCCTTGACAACGGTACAAGAATCTGTATAGAAACGTTGCACTCTCGTAATAAAGAAGTTGTTATCCATAAAGTTTGTCAATTTTGAAACGGACAAAGCTTAGCAAATATTTTATGACGGTAGAGGTTATTGAAAATTGGATATATTACAGACCTACTGACCACGATATTGTACTTACCTGCCAAGTGTACAGACCTACTGACCACTCTATTGTACTTACCTGCCAAGTGTACAGACCTACTGACCACGTTATTGTACTTACCTGCCAAGGGTCACATTGATAGGGAACATCGGACATAATCCGGGACCAGTATCTCCTAAGATAACAGAGCCAAGGTGCTATACATTTTGTGCAATATCGTCTTTACGGCTGTTTGTATTCCACATTGATCAAATCACGCGCGTGCTACACATACCTTCGTGGCATATTCGCAACTGGTCATCCATTGTACACGTTTATCATGGATGCATCGGTCAAACTAAATGATATAATATCGAGTTCACAATAACAACGTTATAGTAAGTGTAATTAGTAAATGCGATTGTCGTCGATAGCTGGAAAAGGTGTATAATACGAACGACAATCACAAATCGGCTGTCTAGTAAATTCACCCAGGTAAGGAAATTTACTTTCTTCTACTTTGTTAAAACCTTCACGCTTCATGAATTTGATCTATCGTACCGTAACCATATGTTACAACCTTCAGGTATGTGGAACGTGGCATCCTTTCATGGATTTCTCAGATATTCTGTATTACTGTTTATGTTTACTGATGAACACTATGCTGTGTTGAATATGTAGTTGTATACTGTATATCCTGTGTGACGACCCACTCGGGTCGGCCGTGCTCTATTCAGTGGTGCGTGAACTGAGGTAATAATAATAATAATAATAATAATTGGCTTGTATAGCGCCTAGTTTCCATCACAGATGCTCAACGGCGCTGCATACATTGTTAAAAACACAATGAGTGTGAAAAGAGTTCTATTCAGAAGCCATCTTGAAGAAGTATGAGGTGGTGTACCTTGATATTTATCATCACTGATGTATCGTGTGTAATTCTTTTATAGCATTGCTGTTCTTGATATATATGTACTCCAATAAACGATTGTGAAACTTGATTATGTATTGTAGAGAAGACTAGTTATGTATTCATTCGGAGGCTCTGTAATAAACTCATCGTTTATTTACTCAGATATTGTGTGAACCTCTTGCCAAGCGAGGTAGTTCCCCAAACACTTGCGTTTTGATAAATTGTACCCATGTAGTGAATCGAACCCGGGTTTTCGGCGTGACGAGCGGATGTTTTAACCACTAGGCTCCCCCACCGCCCCCCCTCTCATAAGAGGCGATATCAGACGATCGGGTGTTCAGATTCGGCGACTTGGTGGATGTCTGACATTTTATTTTATACCGTGTTGCCAATGGTTTCAATCACGGGATTGTCTGGTCGGGATTATGTCATGTAGCTGTGCTATTGATTCGAGCTACGTTAAACGACAGGCCAAAAGCACCATCCGTGTCACATTTGTTGTCTAAGCCTTAATGCGCCAGAAAAAACGATTATGTGCCCACGTCGTGAAAGTACGATGATACTCAAGCCATGGAGCTTGAGTACACAGTCCGAATTTAGTCGACTCTTACAAGGATACTCGGTTTCCAGGGACCAATTCCATCACGGTATCCCCATGGGGTTGGCGAAACACATGAAATAATACAGGCACATGTTCCTATTTTCGAATCGTTTATTTTATACAGTTGCTCATTGTACAAATGATGTTTATATATAATAATGCTGATGATGATCATTCACAGCTTCCTGACAGGGTTTGGCCTGCCTCAGTTGGTATGGGCATGTATAGCAGTAAATATCCCTGTGTACAAGTTATAGTTTTGCATCTGATACAATCATTATGATAATGATTCAAACATATAACACGTCAATGCAGAAACTAGCCAGTCTTGACCATCAAAAAAAGACTCCATTTATCGTAAAGAGCAAACCAGACGCAAACCCCACAAGAACGGACTGCCGTAAATCAGCGATGACATGATTCTGGCATATTCAAAATCGTACAGTGGAATCGCTCTTTGGCAGACATTTGTCTTTTAAGGATTTCATCACTGAAGTGTTTCAGTGTGGATTGATATACATTCAAAAATCACGGTCTAATATTCTTGTGACAACCGTGCGTACTGACCTGACTCAAAACTAAAAAATTACATAGCACGCCTGAATCCTGTAGTTTCTGATTGGTGCCCATATATGTTTGGACACGTTTAAAGTACATTGCACTTATACAGCTAATATCAGAGTCACTTGTTTATGATTCACTCTGAAATAGTGGTCATTCGTTGGTAAAAAGACTAGCGTATTCTACCCAATTGGTTGCGCTTGTCACAAACACATACAGCGGCAAGTCAATTGTTCGAAATATACATTAAAATATACTACATGTTACAAGCCTTATATTAGGTATACCCATAACTTTGGATTCACTAAAGTTATTAGTTAACCGTTACATGGCAAACGAAACGCCTTCGCCATACAAGTAAAGGATCTTGTAACATCCTATTAATGTGCTCGTACAAACTTTGCTTGGCATAATGGACTTCCAATAGTCCAGGCTAACTATTCTCTTGCATGTTTCCTCTGAGATGCAACGATGTAATTCTCAGTCGGGCGTATGTTCACAACACTTGTCCCCCCGTAGTTCACCTTGCCGATACTGGAGAAAGTCAGGGTTTGGAGCAGGTTGGCGAAGATGACAGTTGCCTCCTTTACAGCCATCTTGTAACCGGGGCATTTTCGTGCTCCTGAAATGTATGGAAAGGAACCAGTAAATTAGACGATTATAGAGAATATTATACATATGATTTATGTTCAGTATGTAACTACCAGTTGTCGGACGTCAACTATAGTGGAACCTCATTGGCTGAGTGGATTAGGTCAGACTTTGTCTGCTGGCGATAAGGTTGAGTTCAAATCTCGGAGGGGACTCAAATAGTATTAGACTTTATACTTAACTAAGAACATAGATACCCAGTTATAACATGTAAACCATACTGTTTTATTAACTACTGGTCAAAACAACGTATTCAATTATATTGGATGTTTAAACTGAAATACGCAAGATATATTACCCGATGGTGCTGTTTGTAATAGTTGTGTTTTGGACACTAAGTCCGCAGCATTTCCAAGAAAGGTTTCAGCCAAGTAACGTTTGATGACGTTTGGTATGGTGATCTACCTTCAGCTGTTGGCAGTCTATAGCCCATTTTTCTACTGTATTGTCCAAATTTGAAATCCAATTTTATAGAGAGTTGCTAGTTTTATTTCTTGATACTGTAACATTCTAGTTGATTTCACTGTCCTTCGTCAGGTTTTTATAATTAACATGTATTTATTGTGAATTCAAAACTTGTTTTAATCACGATATAGCTGAAATATTGACGATGTGACTTAAAATCTTAACTCACTGACTCACTTGATAACGTTTGTAATATTTTTGTCTGATCTAGTTTACACGTGCCCACAGTTTAGTTGACATATTGATGAAACAGGCGAGATACAACAATCAGCCATCACTCTCTCTGATATTTACCTATGCTAAAAGGCATGAAAGCTTGGGGCATCTTAATTGCTGAATGCTGGTCATCAAGAAAGCGCGTCGGGTCGAACAGCTGTGCATTCTCCCAATAAGCATCGTCCGTGTTTGCGGAAATCAGATTGGAAAATAGGATGGTTCCTTTTGGAATGTGGAACCCAAAGATGTCCATGTCGTCCACGGCGCAGTGGGGAAGAGAGACAGGAACTGGAGAGTCAAGAGACAACATACTGCAAATACATATTGTGAAAATGAGTACGAATGACACGTTATATTTGGGATTGCACTTTCTCAGTCAAATCCAGAGTCAAAACCACTAAGGGTTCATAGCGCTACGACATCATATATTAAACCATTGAGTTACATGTACGACAGGTCGTAACGTTACTACCTTTAAGTGGATGGGGTCCCAGAGAGTAGTACTTTTGTTGGGTTGAGTCCCATCCGGGATTCGAACCCACACCCTCAGCACATTTCTGGTGTCCCCCGCCGGTATATTGCTGAATTATTGCTAAAAGCGGCTTAAGACAACAATTCACTTACCTTTACTGTTGTAACCATCATATTTTTGGTAAATAAGAAAATAAACACTTTGTGAAGCTGAGCGCATCAAGGTCATTGTGAAGGACCTTCTGGGTAAGGATTTATTACAATGTTTTTGTCATTAGTTTTTCACCGATTGCATAAATGTTTACAGAGTACATGTTCGTATACATTGGGTTCGTCATATACCTACCCACATTAGCGAGTCGCTGAACCTCAAACACCGTAGCACTAACATAGGGCAATTTGTCTATGTCAGAAAACTTGACTTGTCGTGACTTGCCGCAGACCTTGAAAACAAATACCCAACTGTGAAATAACAACATGCACATGTATGGCTGGCTTTGTTGACCCCAGTCGTGTACTTCCGTGAAAGACAACACAACATTTCCCTAACAGATTGTGGTTTCGCTCTGGCAGGTCTCTCATGATTTATATCACTGAGTTTCTAGCTCTATATCAGGCCAACCCTCTCTCTCTCTCTCTCTATATCAGGCCATCCATCCCTCTCTCTCTCTCTCTCTCTCTCTCTCTCTCTCTCTCTCTCTCTCTCTCTCTCTCTCTCTCTCTCTCTCTCTCTCTCTCTCTCTCTGCAAATATTTAGCACCCCTCCCCTCCCTAGACGCACCCATCCATTCCCCGCCGCACATACACAACCCCCAGCCTTCACTCAGATGACAATACCATTTTGAAATACAGAGACCATATACCGGTCAATCGGTTAATAATCTCTGAGAAAGATATGTTGATACGTTTCTTCCTCCGATGACCCTCACCTTATCTATCTCCTGTTGGCATCTTGCCTGCACATCCGGGTGCTCCAGCATGTAGAGTAGCGCCCAGTCGACCGTCAGGGCTACAGAAGGAGCGCCCCCTATGATGCACTCCTCCAGACACACAGCAACGTCACCATCTGTAAAACAATAACATAGCATACAGTGTATTCCTTTCTCTATCTCACGTAAAGGTGAGGTGAAGTGAGGTGAGGTGAAATTGGGTTTAAAGGCGTGCTTGAGAATATTTCGCTCATATGACGACGTGCATGCGTGTGTATGTGTATGTGCGGCTGCTTGTACTAGCCCAGACTTAAGCTGGTTTTATAGTGCTGGCCCACTGAGATACCATGCCGCAGTGAAGCAGGAATACCCCATTCAGACACATTATACTGACTCCGAGCCGACCAGTCCTTGTTGTACCCATTAATGCCGAGCGCCAGGCAGGGACCAACAAGTACCATATTTTAACGTCTATTGGTATGACGCGGCCGGGGATCGAACCCGCGATCTTCCGCTCTCCGGGCGGACGCTCTAACCACTACACCATGCAGGCGGTTTCGTAAAGGTCGGCTACTGTACTCTGGTAGTATCGCCCTACAAAGTGAATCATGCAATATAGACGACGCATGTAAAACAAACGCAGTGATGTCGTCGGATATCAATAATGTTCCTACAAGCTATTTCTGAGAATTCTGTATGTATAAAATCAAAATATATATATTCGTCGTATGAAATAAAATACCTGGACATGTCAGAGATTACACATATCACCTTATGCTACTTAATCCTTGTAAGGGTTAGAATTGATCTTCAGTAACCCATGCTTGTTGTAAGAGGCGACTAAGGGCATTGGGTGGTCAGGCCCACTGACTTGGTTGACACATGACATCGGTTTCCAATTGCGCAGATCGATGCTCACTGGATTGTCTCGTCCAGACTCGATTATTTACAGACCGCCGCCATATAGCTGGAATATTGCTGAGTGCGGCGTAAAACTAAAATCACTCACTCACTAATCCATGTAATATTTGTGCATGTATTCTTTCTCGGATTAATTATATTAGGTCCACCTTTTGGACCCAGTTGTTGTAGTTCACGTAAGCAAGAGAGTGCATCACCCATGTCCTTCGAGAGACTGGTGGACATGGAATTTACTTTAAAAGCACGTTCAGTTAAATTGCGGGTAAAGCGTATCCTTGGATGACTTTCTTCTTCCGAATCGATAAGAATACTACAGTTAGGCACATACCCATGCATCTCGTTTATGTTTAACTTTCATCAAATAAAGTAGACGACAGGAGAACTCTATGGGTTATTCCTCTGGACTAAATTCATTCGGAGTTCATCGTAATTATGAGGAGAAAATCGTCGTACAGCATGAATTCGAGATACAAAGTTTCAGTCGGTACGTTGCAAATGTAAACCGGCAGTTCGGCAATACTTTGCGTGTAGGTGGGATACATAAATGACAGATTGGGCCTCAGCCAATCAGAATCTGATATTGTTTAAGATAGGCCACTACGAGTTGAGTGTCGAGCACGTGTTACCTGAATATGAAGGTACATCCGGGTTCTGCCTCTGGTCCTTAATGAAGACGTCTATCACCGATCCTGTTTGGTCCTCCTTGAAGTTTTCTTTCCTGCTCCTGATTTCAGACAGCATCAGGGTCTGTAGTCCAGTGTAGGCTCCAGTTAATGTTTTGTAAGACTGAAATATGATAGTGTCAACATACATAAAACGTATACATTACTGACATAAATAATACCCAGCTGATGATACATTTTGATAACTTGAGTATTTATAACACTGGAATACTACAATCTTGTAGATCGACACCATTTTCACTGACTCCCCATCCTTGGGAAACATCCTCCAAGCTGAAGAGGAGCAATTTGTTATGGATGGACAACTTCTTGGTTGCAATAGAAGCTCTATGTACTTTCTGTGGGTCTGAACCTGAATCCATTGCAATAAAGAAGTTGTTAACCATAAACAATTATCCTCTTCATCATACCAGTTTCTAAATGACACTCAAAGAAGTTATCAGCCAAATTAATGGCCGTAACGTGATCTCTAAATGGCAACCACGCCCAGATGAGTAATGTATGTCAGTTGTTAATGTGGTGACTCCCATATAGGTGAAACCTCCCTACCGTAGATGCCCTCATCAAAGAGCATAAAACTTCAGCAGCCAAGGCAGACAGCACATCAGCCCTCTCAGACCACCAACAAAACATCCTCAGTCATCTAATCCACTTATATTTATTCCACTAAGAATACGGATTGTACGAAAAGACAACTTTTAGAAGCCATCGAAACCCGCCGCCCAAAACCTTTCATCAACAAAGACCACGTTTACTACATAACATCGGCCTACGAAGAGCTAACTACCTATAAATTATACTAATCCCTCCTGCTTCGTGGCTGAGCTATTTGTTGTTCGTACTCCCACCTGATCTCATCCAATTATATGCTACTTGTTATTAAATTACATGCTGTTGTTAACGTTGATCTGATGTTTGTCACAGCACAATATGTATATACTTTTCATCAGTTGGCTGTAGTCACTTTTAACTTGATAACGATGTAAGAATCTACACCGAAACGTCGCTCTATGCAACAAACAATAAGTTGTTATCCATGAAGTCGTACGCTTCATTATTGACTCACCAACTTATGCCATGCCGATGAAACAATTAGTTGAATATCCTTCTCCACGGTATCTCATTATATCCATTACGGTCCACATCATTACTACCCCCACCCCCTTCCCTGTTGTCCCCCGTCTCCTTCCAGGCCGACCCTCCCCGTCCCCGGAATAGTGCCCCACATCTGTCACTGACACTCTGCTGCCAGCACACCGCTCTCTCGCTCTGATCCTGCTCTACACTCACAGTCAACACATCTGCAAGCTGCAACTGCTTACATCTGGCTTTGTCAGTACATGTGACTCCCGTTAATGCATTAACGTGCGACACGCAACTACTTGGGGAAAATTAAGGTCAATATGTGTTTTCACCTCGAATAACCATGAAGCTCAAGATGATATAATACTGTTCCTAGATATCTGATATCACATTTGTCTGGATCCCCTTACTGCGGGAGACGCTGACATTACACAACTCCCCAACCATGTTCGTTAATAGGGCCTGTAAGTATCGCGAGGCTCTACTTCCGGTACTAAGCTGGTTCCCGGGTCCCCTGGCGCGCGCAACTTGCGATACGCGAGACGGGGCCCAGCTTACTTCCGGTACCAGATTTCCAGTGACAAGCGTATATTCAAGAACCAGTTCTGGTTCCAAATCTCGCGACAGCCAAATATGACTTTTCTAGACCTGACCAAGTGTACAACCACTATTGGCTGTCACAGCGGTTGACAGTGGTAATTGTTGGCTAATTCGGGGTGGTTAGATCGCAAATGTGTTATTTCTGCAAGGATTCATTCGAAAATGCAACGTTGTTTGTCACCGGAAGTGATATGCCGTGACCTACTTACGGGCCCTATCCAGACACTTTCTACAGCAAAGCTGTAGTTTGTGAATAGTTAAACAAGGTTCCCTTGTATACACATATGTAAATCATGTCTGATTACAATTATGGTATTTTTACAAGACATTCTGTGAGGATAATTGGTCATGTAGTTTCAAAATTGGACTGCAAATGTCTAACATGAACATTAAGAGCCCCGATGTACAACAAAGCTCTATTCCCTGTACCCGTCTAGTTATCGGTAGGTACCGCAGCCACGGCACTGTCCCCAGGGGTGAGAGAATCCCTCCTTTCTGTTCGAAATCAGCCATACACCGTAGTATTTCCCGAAGGACAACGCTGTCATGGTTACATCTGAAACCAAAATTGATCGTGTAAAGTACAACCAAACCAGTATAGCGCCTTTGTAACACTATTTCATGACCGGAGGCGCTGTTGACAGCAGGGGCGGAATCAGAGGGGTGCGGGGGTGGTCATTTCCTCATTGAACAAAATCTTAGATAAACTAAAATGAGGGCGGTCGAAAATACAAATATGCTCAACGTTTAGATTAGTACTGCTACAAATGAATGAGGACCTGATGTCAAAATAGCATACCCATACGGCAGTGAATGGGTACCCGACAGGATTAGAAGGTAATAGCTTTTAAACCTTGTAGCGCTTCATATAACAGTTCATGCTGAAGTATCGTTATCATTATACAGATCAAAGTAAATAAATGCAACAAAGACAGTTTAGGTGGTCCTGGCACCGCCAGGATGGATCATCAGCCATTGGTATTTGCCCCGTTTACACGCAGCCCAGACAACAATCAAGTGCTGACTCGACCAGACCACCTGGAACTTGGAGAATGAGAAGACTCTCTACACAGCAGAAGGGATGTGTTCCTGATAACAAACCCGAGTACTCTCCCCACTTCAGTCAACAGATTGGGAGGCACAAGGAAACCTTCGAGTCCGGAATGCAAGCGGAACATGGCATATTTTTCTTTTCTAAGCTTACTTTGGTAAGAAATAAGGACATTCCCTTTGGTGGAGAAAAACTTCATGCCTAAGAAAGTTGGATGTCTCATTTGTTCATTTCATGTTATCAGTTCTAAAACATGATGATGACAGGTATGTCCAGTGATAACCCTGAATTTACTTTGGATTTAACTATTTGACATTTTTTTGTATGTTGATGACATACCCATATGAATCATTTCCTTAAAACAATCACATTATATAGCTCATAATGCAACTGCAGTCATCAGATTGTTTGAGACATGGCTCCAACTATAACCCACATGAACATAAACGTGTTAGTGAATGAAGTCACACATTTAGTGAGTGAGTGAGTGAGTGAGTTTAGTTGTACGCCGCACTCAGCAATATTCCAGCTATATGGCGGCGGTCTGTAAATAATCGAGTCTGGACCAGACAATCCAGTGATCAACAGCATGAGCATCGATCTGCGCAATTGGGAACCGATGACATGTGTCAACCAAGTCAGCGAGCCTGACCACCCGATCCCGTTAGTCGCCTTTTACGACAAGCATAGTCGCCTCTTATGACAAGAATGGGTTGCTGAAGATTCTACCCCGGATCTTCACGGGTCCACACATTTAGTATTTAGATATTGTAGTAATAGTAATACTCACAGCACTGACTAACCCACTATAAGCCTTTGTTAAGTTAGAGTGTGATGATTACACAATGTCATTCAGAAAGTGGTCAAATGTAACATATGTTATGTTTGGGATTACACTTTCTTAGTAAAGTACAGATTCTAGTACTTCTGATGGGTTGAGTCAGGCACCTATCTGCACCACACAAAGCCAGCCGTCTAACCCACTCATTAGGTGCCTGACTCTGAGGACGGGGGTTCGAATCCCGGATGGGATTCAACCCAACACAAGTACCAGGATCTGTACTTTATTGAGAAGGTGTGCTCCCAAATATAACATGTGGTGTTAGAACCAGATATCAATTCAGTGTCGTGCGTCGATGAAGCCTCCGTTAACAAATATTCAGTCTACACAGGAATGCTGTAACGTTCGTTGCGAAGTGGATCTCCACGCCATATGGTACTACTAACATGTACCTCACTACTTCACTTAAGTGTATGCTGCACGCAAACAGCAACATAATGCAGTTATATACTACCAGCGTTTAAAATTCCCGCCTGACCGACCGCCCGGAACGGTTTGTTTCATCTCGGACGGTCAAATTTCAAAAGTAGCCTGTCCGGTGGTCTGGTAGATATTTTTACCCCTGGCATTAAATATTTCATAATATCAGACATTATATCTTGTCGTCAGTTTGAGGTGTTTGAGGTATTATGAAAGTTATGTTAAACTACTTATGATTGAACAGTTCATGTTACGATAACCAATCGCATCACGTGTAATTTCAGTTTATTGTTGAAAACTGGACAGGCAAGTTTGTATCCGGACTGGTAAGTTTTTAAAGTTACCAGTCCGGCTGTCTGTCTTGGAATTTGTGAGTTTTAAACACTGATACTACCCATCAAAAGTGTAGACTCACTTGTGTAAATGTAGCCATTTACTTCAGTCAACTGTTCAGAACTAGATTTTGCTATATATTCCATACTGTTTAAAGGTACTGTTTACACACGAACTTATACATTGTAAAACAAATTCGTAACGTTGAAAAAATTATTGTCATAGTTCAATAAATAATGAAACTCAGTGAAATTTGGCGAATTCTTAACAAACCTTTAAACCAAAACGCAGCTGTTTGCATGCACGATATTTGCACATGCTTTCAGAAATTTGATGCATGATCCTCGTGCAATTCATCTGCATAAGGTTTGCAGATGGTTCCCCCAAGTGGAGTAGAGTGGAGAAATTCATCTTCGATGTAACCGTACATATATAAATAACATATAGTGAGTGTTTTAAGTGAGTCTAAACGTTTGATGGGTAGTATATTACTGAATCATTGAGTCAGTCAGTCAGTCAGTCAGGTTAGCTTTACGCCGCTTATTATGACGGCAGAGGACACCAGAAACGGGCTTCACACATTGTGCCCATGTGGGGAATCGAACCCGGGTCTTCGGTGTGACGAGCGAACGCTTTAACCACTAGGCTACCCTACCGCCCCGAATCACTGAAATAAATACTAATTTATGTTAATATGGAGATGATCTCTGAGCGTACGTAACAAAGGATAAAACGATGGCCATATTTACACACAGTCTCTAAAATGTTCTTTTATTTCATGAGCAGAGTAACAAATGCAAAATTCTTGGCCAAATGATACGTACATTTTAAAAGTTGGTGATATGGACCTGGAGTGACATATATTTCCTAGTATGGCTAAACAAGGGAAATACTGTTCCTTCGTGCGGTGCCTAGTCCAAAGACTTTTAAAATTAGCATTTTCCATGGCACTCCCTGCATATTCTGGGTCGTACCACTGATGGGTTCCTGAGTCATAACCTCGAGTATGGTGAAGACTGCTGTGAACAGATCGAGCTATGTGAAGTCGTTTAAGATACTATGTCTGTGCCAAGTTGGAAATAGTAATCAGTATCTTCCTCGTCATGTAGTAGCAATAACAGAAGTAGCATCAGCAGCAAGATAATCAAATAGCTGGAACACATTTCAAAGCATAAACATTAACTTGCACATGATTTGGAACAAACTATATGTGTACAAGTCTGACTGCGAGCACGCCCTACTGTGCCGAGAACTCAGCTATTACCGTTCACGTAGGGCACAGCTAAATTCCTTTTCGCGGCTAATACATATAAAACCTCTGAGATTTTCTAACGTGAATATGTTGTTGCATTTAAACGAGAACATTACTGGGTAAAACGTTCACAGTGATACGTGTAAATTGAGGCGCCCAGTAGGTTTATTGTTGAGTCATATTAATACTACAGCGGCCAGGAAAAGACAGAAGGATTTTCTATGTTGTCGGGGATATGCTGAAACCAAGCGAACCAAGACCCCTGACCCATTTATCATGTAGTTCCCTTAGGAGAATCTTTTGTCAGCACTCACCAAAATAGTTGCTACGGGTTTTCCTCCCCCATTTAGCCGGTCCGCCGTGATATAAATAGAAAGCTTTCAAAGCAGCGCGCAACCAGACTGTGTCACCAACTCACTCACTGCCAACAGGTATTGTGATCTCTTTGAGGGGTAAACATGAGTCCTATGGGAGCTTCCATATATACATGTAGATATTTTAATTAATAAACATTGAGTAGATGTGTAAGTTTGCTATACTTCAGGATCCTTTAATTTAATCGCTCAACGGGTGACTTATAATCCTTGATCCACCCCACATGTGTTCCAACTTAAATAAGGCTGTCTCTATACGTTTTGGGTTTCCCATCTCATTCCCACTTGAAATAATAAACAGTTGCTTTTTCAGTTTCCCTCGACGCTGTAATATATACTTATGCCCCGATGAGATGAAAATATTCTTTCCTTGCAAAGTAATAACAAAGAAGGGTCAGCTTGATCTTTCATCAGCTGCATTTATCAAAAGATTGTTTTGAAGCAAAGGGGGAGGTGGGGCAGCGTAGTGGTTAAAGCGTTTGCTCGTCACGTGGATGACCCGGGTTCGATTCCCCGGTCCCGATTCCCCACATGGGTACAATGTGTGAAGCCCATATCTGATGTCCCCCGCCACGATATTGCTGGAATATTGCCAAAAGCGGCGTAAAACCACTCACTCACTCGAAGCAAAACCACATCATAATATTACGTTTAATAACGTTTAATATTTCATAAACCAAGTTACACAATTTGTCAAACATTTTTTGTCGCCCATCCCTTATCGTGCTGGCAGAGGTTGTAGATAGGAAAGAAATGGAACGAAGACGTTGTGTAAAAGTACGGGGTGTGGAGAACAGTTATGTATACTACCTTTACCCTCCAAGTCATGCGGGCGGTGGGGTAGCCTAGTGGTCAAAGCGTTGGCTCGTCACGCCGAAGACCCGGGTTCGAATCCCCACATGGGTACAATGTGTGAAGCCCATTTCTGGTGTCCCCCGCCGTGATGTTGCTGGAATATTGCTAAAAGCGGCGTAAAACCAAACTCAGTCAGTCAGTCAGTCCAAGTCATGCTTGTAAAATAACCTGGTGAGGACATCGTACCTTTGGCCTGTCAGAGCTGCGTATCGGCATGTTGTCACTGTGATGTACAGGCTGTCTCGTGGCTGGAAAGGGCTTTCTTTTTTCTCCACAAATTCCTCGATAAGGAATTTGGTCTCCTCCAACACTATGTCTTGATATGCCGAAGTCATCAAAACATCAGCGATTCCTTTCTTGAGTGTTGTACGAGCCTTTGTCCAGTTTGGCCCGTTTCCAAAGAACAGCCCTGGATGAAAAGAAATTAGTACTGTGCTGATCAAGTCTATGTAATAGTAATTCAAAATTAGAATATAACTTTGTTTGTTGTCTTACGAAGCAGTCAGCAATATTCCAGTTATATGGCTGTGGAATAGAAGAATGAGTGTGTTGGTTGTATTACTATAAAAATAATATTTCAGACTGTGTACGACGGGTTCACTTCAAGAGAGTATATGGGTACCCGGTGTGAAATGCTTCGATAAATATATACTGAACCACAAAAGAAATGTCGCACTGATAGCACACTTTAATTCACTCTAATTAACAATAAAAAAAACCGGAGGATTGAGTTCAAACTTGACAATTATGGTGAGCACATTTTCGGGAATCACATTTAGAGTTCACACAAACAAAATCACCAAAAATGGTACCATTTAGATACCCGAAAGTCAGTATTGTGTGTGGCCTCTATAAGCATCGATGAAAGTCGTTGCGTCGTCTGTACATAGAATGAATAAGCCGGTTGATGAAGGCCATAGGCCATAGGCACTCTGTGAAATGCCTGATCGAGTCCAGCAGCAGTTGTCGGCCTTGGGTGGAGGTCATTCAGTCTTCTTTGTATCTCGTCCCAAAGGTGTTTTATTGGAATCAAATCCGGCTTGAGTGCAGGCTATTGTAGGGTTTGGATGCCATGTTGTCATAGGGATTCTAATGTTACTCTGGCAGTGTGGACACGAGCGTTGCCTTGCTGGAGGACCACCCCATGAGCTCCTCACGCCTTCACCATACTCTCACTCTGACATCGAATGTGGAAACACAATAATGGCTTTCATGAGAAAAGAGCACAGTTCTCCGTTGTCGATAACGCCAATGTCGATGCTGAGTTGCCCATTAAAGTCGGTTTGGGCGGTGATAAGCGGTGAGGACAGGACTACGATATGGTTTCCTCCGTGCAAACGTCGACGCACTGTATCGGCACTGATGGGTCTGTTGCGAGTCCCAATGGTCTGGCATGCTGTTTCCGTCGCTCTGGGGAAGCGATCCTGCAGATGGTGGCGAACAATCTGTCGGTCTTGACGTTGTGATGTTACGGAAGGTCGCCCACTGTGTGGACGGTCTTGGATGCTGTTAGTGACGTGATACCACTCCTGCGGTCGGTAGATTGTCCTAACATGAACCATAAAATGATTGACTACCCTCCGTGCGGTCTGGGCAACTTGCAATCGTCCCAAGACTTGGTTCCTCTGATCTCTCGTAAGTCGTGGAATGGCAATTGTGTCAAAACCAAAATGACTCGCTTTTATTGGCAGGGTTGTCACGATATGCACGTGCATTTTCATTTTCACGAATGTCATACGGAACATTTTACCACGTCTGCCTTTTTAGGTGCGTTAGGTCGATATGTTTTTTTCATCAGAAAACACACTGATGTTGGTAATAACTGTCAATCTCGATTGAAAAACATGTTAACAAAACGATACAATTATATTAAAAACACCATTTTGTAAGAACAAAATCTTGCATTTGGTTTTGAAAGGCGACGTTTCTTTTGTGGTTCAGTATATTTGAATATACACGAATGTTGTCAAGTATTGAGATGCATCCCTCGGGCGTACATCAATCGTTGGTTGTGACCACAGCTACTATATTCAATACGACGTTAACACACCTCACTCACTCACAACTGACATTCCCTGCCACTGTTAAAGTACAACCCACGCTAACAACGGCACCCGCCTTCACACGATACTCTAAATAGCCTTATGATTGTATATAATGTCAGATGGACAAATAATACGACATTTTTGGCGTGAAATTTGCTGTCTATTACGTAGATTTACGTACGTTGAATTAGAAGGTCAATTCCGTATGTCATTATGTAATTACATATAAAAATGCTACATGCTGTGTCATGTGTGGATGTTTGGATGTCACCAACAGTGTGCAGTTTGAATGTCACCAAGTACTTTAGACTAACTGCCAGATACAAGACACACACACAGGCAGGCATACAGGCAGGCATACAGGCAGGCACACAGCCACTCATGCATGCACGCTTGCACGTAGACCCATGTACATATATACACACACCGCCCGTTAAGATCCGGGTTAGACCTGGTCTTCAGTAACCCATGCTGATCGTAACAGGCGACTATGGGGATTGGATGCTCAGCTGACTTGGTTGACACATATCCCAACTGCGTAGATTGATGCTCATGCTGTTGCTCACCGGATTGTCTGGTCCAGTCTCGATTATTTACAGACCGCCGCCATATAGCTGGACTATTATAGTGTAGTTACCTGGCACACTTGTGTAAGGAGCAATGTGTGTAGCCTAGCAGATAGCGTGTTGGTTTACACTCAATACGTTCGTGTTCGAATCTGAATGAATATTTTGCATACATCATTTGGAGTAGTTTCTGATGAACCCATTGTGTTAGTTGCTTTGTTTGTTTGTTGTTTAAAGCCACTCTCAGAATATCACAGCTATATATGACGGCTGTACATAATCGAGTCTTGCCCAGACAAGCTAGTGATTGACATCATGAGCTTTGTTCTACGCAATTGTGATACAATGACATATATCAATAAAGTCAGCGAGCCTGACCATTAGATCCCGTCAGTGGCCTCTTACGACAAGCATAGGTTGCTCACAATCAGGTCTTACCTGGATTTTCATTGGTCTCACCTATAGTACTTACACTGGAATAGAACTCGGACCATCGACGTAACGTGACGTAGCCACTGAGCTACCATTTCGCCTCACCAAACATTTACAACTGGACAATACTCGAACGTACTAGCTTCCTTTTCGGTGGGGGTAGTGGGGCACCCTATTGGTGAAAGCGTTTGCTCGTCACGCTGAAGGCCCGGGTTCGATTCCCCACATGGGTACAATGTGTGAAGCCCATTTCTGGTGTCCCCCGCCGTGATATTGCTGGAACATTGTTAAAAGCGGCGTAAAACCATACTCACTCACTCACTCATGGGCGGTGAGGTAGCTTAGTGGTTAAAGCGATCGCTCTTCACGCCGAAGACCAAGGTTCGATTCCCCACATGGGTGCAATGTGTGAGACCCATTTCTGTCCCCCGCCCTCATATTGCTGGGAGAATCCCAAAAGAGGCTTAAAACTAAACTCACTCACCCCACTCAGCCATCACTCACCACTCACCTACCTTTCCCGTGTTGTTTTACAGCATTTACCCCCGGGAGGAAGTCTGGCCTGGCAGCAGTGTTGTCCTGCTGGGTGATGAACGCCTCGTGGATCGCATCATACCCAGACACTAGAATCACGGGATACCTTCCAAAATATATCCTAGCCACCGAGCCATATTTTCTACGTATCAGTTGAAAATAATCCTGCACTCTCTTTGCCCCAAACATCGCCATCTGGGGGTAGGATCCCAATAGTGGCCAGCGGAACGGCCCCGGGGGTGATTTACCCCTCCATCCGGACTGGCGAAACAGACGTGTATAACCCAGGAGTAAAATCACCACCAGAATTCCTCCGTATATGATTGTATACATGTTTGAGTGAAGCTGTGGAGTTACCCCTCCCTCCTTCTCCAGGAAGAGTGACTGCGATCTCTCAGCGAATCTTCATTTAAAATCCCTGGTCGGGGCTCATAGCCAGTGAGGCGAACATGGGTTACCTTGACATGCAATGCACCTGTTTTTATTCCAGTGTGTTGTTACAGTTTATGCTTGGTGCAACATGGAACGCGATGCACAAGTGCAGGTACAGTTTAAGGAGCTGTGTTCCTGACTGTGATGTCGATATTCCGAGTCCTTGGCACAGGTGGAGATGTTAGATACAGGAGCCCCAACCGTGTACACTAAACACAAAACTGCCACGCAAGAGTTGTGTTGATATTGCGCTAACAGTACAATGAACACCCCACTTCAACACACAAACAGACCCGGGTCGAGTGGGAGGATGAGGGGGTCTGTTGGGGCTCGGGATATTTTGGGAGGGGTAGGGGTTATGTTTTGGTTGTGTCTTTCGTTGATGTTTTATACTTAGTTTTTTGTGCGTGTTGTTGTTTTTGTTTGTTAATATATTGTTCTTGTTTTTGTTTCAAAGTTTGTTTTCTGTTGTTGTTTTGTTGTGTTTTGTTTTTGTTTTTGTTTGTTTTTGTTTTGTTTGTTTTTTGGGGGTTGTTTTTTTTGTTTGTTTGTTTGTTTGTTATTGTTTTTGGGGGCAAAGGGCACTTGTTTGAATTGTTTTGTTTTGATGCTTTTTTATGTTTTTGTTTTTGTTGCTGTTGTTGCTTTGATTTGATTTTGTTGTTGTGTCTAATTGTATTTATTTATTCAGGGGGAGGTTTCAGAGGCAAGCGGCCAGCCATTTCAAATAAAGCTAAACACTTACACTATATAATCTGGTGATAGGTTTTCTAACATAATTAAGGACGAAAACTATATGAAGGAATTCCCAGCACTTATTAAGCTTACAGTAGTGCATACAGAATCTGAATGCGATGCACTCACACACATATGCCAAACAAGCACACTCTATATAACACAAACAAACACTATAAATATCACCGAGACCAACTGCAGGCGATGCACTCGTCTCAATTTCTTCATTAAAGTCAGGAAATAACTCTCCCCCGTAAACGAAAACAAACGTTTACATAAAAATTCAATTTTATTAAAACAAACTTGACACTAAAGTACTGTCGGAAATAGAAAAAAACTGTTTTTAGGCTCTTACTCTGTATCCCTAAAATTTACACAACTGCAAATAGCATATGTCGAAATAACCCACTTCGGCCTAACTTGGCATTCAGTGGGATGCGTAATAGGATATCCAGAAAAGCATGTTTACTCGTAAAATCGGGCAAAACTTAGAAAAAATACGAATAGCTGCTGAAAACAATAGATCAGACTATAGATGGCAATTAGGTCGCTCAGACAGGTATGACGACGGACCGTCGACTCACCTGGCATGAAATGCATGTGCTGCCTACAGGCGCCCAAGGGGTCATCTCAAAGATATTTTGTGCTTTTTCATGTGTGTTGACTATGTCTCATCTATTGATTCACATCTAACGTGTCTTTCTTTCATATAGTTTCATATAGTTTCTGTTGAGATATGTAAAAGAGTATGATACCCGAAAACCATAGAAACGCATAGTAGTAAATAAGTGGCATGACCACCCGAAGATCGACAGGACTGGATATTATTTGTAAATTGTTATGACATGCCGTGTACTTCCCCAGTATAATTGCCCTAAAGGATTATCGTATCTTAGCTGATATCTCTATCCCCAAGCCCGACCCAACGATCGTCTGCGACACCCGTCCAGGTGTTGCTTTTTAGACGAACCCTCCTTTCTGTTTCTTTTTATAGTGACAGTGAGACTCCATGGTAGCTACATCCTTAATAGCTTCAGCATGAAAGTTATTATTTTTTACTCCAGCTATCGTTTATAATAAAGCTACGTCTAATTTCAAATTGGTCACTTAAAAAGTGTCCTTTATAATACAATATCGTCGCACACTAATTTGCATACAGCCATGGTCTGTTCCAAATAATTCGTTTTGGACTTAGAAAAAATCGCATTGCTCATTTCTGCACTAATCTCTCCTCAGTAAAGTCCTTTTTCAACGTTTCTTGTGTCCCTACCATTGAGACTGTAGTTAGGCCGAACTTAGTTTAAGAGATATTTCACACTTGCACATATCAACTACATAAATTGTAGAGATAAATGAGAAAATACAGGGTTTTTTCCGACAGTACTATAACGTCATATATGTCGAACAGGATGGGTACCCTGAAATATGGATCATCCGGAAATGGGTCCCTGCATATTTGTTATGTAAAATGATTCTGCTATTATCTGGGTGATACAGCATACACTACCAACAACGCTGGCATCGTTGGTGTAGTATTATGTCCAGCAATATTTCAGCAGATCCATTATTTGGTCTCAACATCATGCGACCCTTGTTCACAGGTTGTCTGGTCAGTTTTAAATATTTCAGGTCTTAGTTACGCTTATGGAGTTTAAGACATGTGGAGAACATTTTCCAACTTTCCGTATCAGTAAAAACATGATGCTCCATGCAATACCATATTTGGACTTGTACCAAATGTATCCGTGTTCCCATTTGAACAAATAACATCCCCCTGTACAATGTATATGCCTGGAAAGTCCATCATCTTGGTCACCTTGTTCAGGATACTTTTTGTTTGTTTGTTCATTTTATTTTATTTTATTTATTTATGAAACTTGTTTCACAAAGGCTGACAGCGTTGAATTGTGCTGTTGTAACGTTATGGATGAAATATCGTTAAAACTACGATGGCGAGAGCAATATCGCAGTTTCTAGAATTTAGTCAGTGGTCAGCAAAGTCCGATCATGAATAGATTACCATGTTTGTCTTCAAAGAATTCACCAAAAGCCTAGACAAACATCTAGTCTCTGAAATGAACATACACTTAGAAAAAGGTTGGAAAATTACATTCCTAAAATATAGTAAAAAGGTACCCAGAGAGTTACCCTAATATATTTTGTGAAAATCTGTGGTAATCTAGACTTGCCACATATTCTTGTCTTCCAGGGGCTGTATTGGGTATATTTGTTACCGGGTTTGTATGACAGACTACCAAAAACATCAGTTGCCAAGAGTTAAAGATGGCCACCCATGACATTTTGGACTTGGAACAGTATTCTTTCGCTTTTCAACCTTACAGTGACCAAGTGATCCTGTAGCATTGAATTCGCTCTTATTACTTTAACATTAGAGTATGCGATCTAGTGTTTTGGGTGACGGGACTGTAATATATTTTGCTAACAGCTCCGTTCCTACCCCTCCTCACCACAAAGTTGTGGATTACACGCACGCACGCACGCACGCACGCACGCACGCACGCAAACATAACCCAACTACTAGCCACGCCCCATTTTTAACATCCACACATGCATTTGTCACAGACATACAAACATTTTTTCCATTGCCATATAAGTATTAACTTTTACTCATTATGAGCGTTGGCTTGTAGTTATACTAGTCGATTCGGCATTTCCGAAAGAGAGTGAGTTCGTCTTACGCCACTCAATGTAACAGCTTTATCACAGCGGGGAATACCTTCGAGGGAACGGTATACAAAAGTACAAAAGTGTTTTTTTCCTTTGAATCAATTTATTTCATTCCGCATTTATGAGGAATGTTAGTATACGTTAAGCACTCACAGTTGTACTTTGAATATTATTGTTCACATGAGGACAACAACGATCGTCTCCGACCATTGAGGCAATCCAGCTTCAGGCAATCAACCGATGATCACAAGAAAGTCACGTGCCCGCTCCAAGCCGTATACAGTCCCTTGTTCAGAAAGCTTCGGGAGTTAATTTCAGATGTCATTACTTTGGAGCATAAACTATTAGGGCTTTTTCCAAGTCCAGTTGTTCTTCTCCGGCGTTTTGACCGTTTGCATGCAACTCCTGGATCTGAATCTCGCTGAGGGGATGACCAGCACTGGCCATGAGCGCCGGGAACTCCTTGTACGTCACGCCACCAGCCGTCCTGACGTTGTAGACGTTGAATGCGCGTCTAATCTTAGCAGCGCTGTAACATAATTTGTGGTTATCATTGACAGGAACATCCTCAACAATCCAGGGTATGATATAACCTTTTTATTACCATAATATATCCGGACCCATTCGACACGGAAGTGAGTGTGTGAGTTTGGTATAACGCCGCACTCGGCGATATTCCAGCTATATGGACGTGTTCTGTAAGTATTCGAGTCTGGACCAGACAATCCAGTGATCAACAGCATGAGCATTGATCTACGCAATTGGGATACGATGTGTCAACCAAGTCAGCGAGTCTGACCACCCGATACTGTTAGTCGCTTCTTACGACAAGCATGGGTTACTGAAGACCAATACTAACCCGGATCTTCACGGGTCTACACGGAAGTGAAGTCACTATGTCTATTCTTCCCATCTGGATCTTCCCAGCACACATCTTCAGGGCAGGTATGTGACTGGGCGGTTGTTGGTAACCACTTGGACAAAATTTCTAATCACATACTTTAGATTTATTAGTCTGCATGATCGCGGCTGTAGCATGTTTCATGTTAAACATAAACCGATAGGTGATGAGAGATGAAACAGAACTGAATAGAAACATTTGTGGATGACGGGAATCGAGGTGAGGCGAGGTTAAATGTTGTTTAACGTCGTACTTAAGAATATTTCACGTACATGCGTGTGTATGTGTGGCTGCTTGTACTAGCCCAGACTTTAGCTGGTTTTATAATGCTAGCCCACTGAGATACCATGCCGCAATTAAGCATGAATGCCCAACTCAGACACATTATACGGACTCCGAGCCGACCAGTCCTTGTTGTACCCATTAATGCAGAGCGCCAGGCAGGGACAAACAAGTACCATATTTTAACGTCTTTCGGTATGACGCAGCTGGGGATCGAACCCGCGACCTTCCGCTCTCCGGGCGGACGCTCTATATAGCTAACCACTACACCACGGAGGCGGTTATGACGGGAATCGAACCCATAAGTAATACTCTAACCAGCTGACCACCAAACAGATTCTTTCGAAGTGACATAGCCTGTCTCAAAGTCCCTAAACAGTCCTTCCCCGCAATACAAAATCCCTAAATGAAGCAAATCTAAATCCCGCTAGGTACGGAATAACCGAGTTCACTGAGTCCCCCTTGTATTGAAGCTAATCTGTCCAACTTAATATGTTTCCGAGCCAGATATATTTTACGAGCGTTTCTGTAAGAGAGGTAAAGCACTCTTACGCATGCCATCATAGAAACACACTCTGTCAAACACAATTGTCAAGGTCCAAATTACCGAAGTAATACCTTTACTGAGGCAAACGTAAGTTGGACACACCGGCGTTCATAACGGTTGTTTCAAGTGTCGGATGAGACACCTTTCTTCGGTTTTGGTTGACAATGTAAAATATTCGTCCAACAGCTATAGCCTTCAGTTCTGGCCCGGGGCGCTGCTGCGAAACTCAAGTCTTACTATGTCAACCATAACCGGATTCTTGCTTTATCCCTATGATAATCCGACAGTTCGTTATTTTAAGTGGAATCGGATCACAATGAGTGAGTGAGTGAGTTTAGTTTTACGCCACACTCAGCAATATTCCAGCTATATGGCGGCGGTCTGTAAATAATCGAGTCTGGACCAGACAATCCAGTGATCAACAGCATGAGCATCGATCTGCGCAATTGGGAACTGATGACACGGATCACAATGTGTGAACAATGTGTGAAGCCAATTTCTGGTGTCCCCTGCCGTGATATTGCTGGAATATTGCTAAAAAGCGGCGCACAACTAAACTCACTCACTCGTGAGTCATAAAACCTTCTTTTTAATCCTAAGGACCTTTAATATGGACGCATTCCATCAAACATGCATGAAAAGTGAAATACTGAATACATTAAAATTAAAAAAGATTTCAAACTTTAATTCAGGGAGTGTTTAAGAGAGAGGTATTTAGGTTTAGAGAATTGGTATGTTTTAAGAAAAAACAATGACGTTATCCTTCTACTTTGTTTTGTATGTGTTTTGTATTTTGTTTTGCTTTACCCTGTCATATCTTGCAGTCAAGAATGAGAGATTAAGTTTGATTTTGTGCCGATTACAACGGCATTTCAGGCATATCATTGAATGTCATACTGATGAGGGAGTGTGGGGGTATGGTTATGGCAATATTTCAGCGAACACTCGAAATAGGCTTCACATTTTGCCCATGTATGGAATCGAACCCGGGTTTTCGGCGTGACGAGCTTGTGGTTTAATGGTTTTATATCATGGCTTGTCAGCTTTATGGATGAAGAAAACCAGAGGTGATGGAGGTCTTAGACCTTGATACTTTGGATGAAACACTGAACACGGACATAGTACTGACATACCAAAATAGAATCTGTGCGAACTTGGAATTTGGGACCTACGTATGAAGGTTTCCGGTACGCCTAAGGGAGGCAACTCTGCAATGGTTTGTAACAGTGAAGGCATGTCTCGTTCCTACTCACATATATTCTGTAGAGTTTGGTGGAGCTAGTGCTGGGACCACAGCAAGAAATTCATCCAGCGTGATTTTCCAATTTCCGTCAGTATCCATCTGCACAAATGCGAGCTGGAAAGAAGTCAGTTCAAATGAACAAAGTTTGAACTGTAATTATTATTAGTTTTTTCTGTTATATGTGAAATACAAGTCACATCTATGTTTCCGTGAGATTGATTACCGAACTTAATCAAATCTCATTACTCAAAATAATATAAACAGATCTTACTTCAAGCGGCTGCTAAACAATGCTTTGAGGACTTCAAGATACGCGTCACATCAAAAATACTGACCAATCCCATCGTCCTCCACCATATGATGAAAGGGACATTCGGAATGGGTTTTCTAATCATGCAACCTCGAAAACGTCAATGTGGGATAATGACACTGAGGGGTTGTACGACTCATTCCGACCAAATCATGGTCCAACTCTCGCTTCAATTCGATACACATTTGAACAGAAGAGACTTTGTACTACCGTACAACCTGGGACATTCCCTAACTTTTGTTTAGGTTTCATATCCTGACTCGAGAATTATAAAAAATTCTGACATTATTGCGTAGTCTGGAATGGAAGTCGCCAAAATAGCTCGTGCCGAAATAGCTCGTGTAAACTCCTTTCTGATTGGCTGATGTCAAATTCATATAGTAATTTCATTGGTCAATCAAAATCGTTTCAGTGTAACTTGTATGTTACTGATGTCCTCACCGGAAGCGGAAACTAAGGTTTGAATTCAGTGAGATCGGCAATATTCAAGTATAGGAATTTTCTGATATTTGTTCAGGGCATGAACAGGTCTAAATAAATCTCCACACCAGCATGAGAAAATAAATATAATACTAACAGCAATATCTTTTCTCGGTAGTCTATGGCCACAGATAATCAACAACTTCTCAAACTCGTCAATGGTCAGCGCGCCGTCTCCATTGCCACATTCTGAGTCCACCTTCAGAAACAGGTCAATGTACACTTTCCTTTCTTCCTGGGGCAGTTGATTTCTCCCGACTGGGTGGCTGGGTGCGTTACTCGAGACGACCTGTGTTTGGTGGTGTACGGCGACCGTTCCAGGACTGGAAGTCAGTGACTGCCCGGGGAGGGGGGCAAGGGCTAGGGGTAGAGAGGACCTGGCTTGACTCCTGGTGGACATATTCTGGAATTGGAGACAATCGAATTTACTAACAAGAACGAGATTACAGGACTTAAAACTGTTAATAACAACTGATCTATGAAGACATGTTTCCGTTGACGAAGGTGAAACAGTCTTGTTAGCGGGAACTGATTCTTCCTAAAACTAGTTTCGGGGAATTAGCTTCGGGATCGCCGAAAGGCTCTCAAGCAAAGCAGGAATCTTTATTAGATATAACAGAAGTCAAGGAACACACTTTCAATTAACAGGTAATTAACAGATAGACTAATAATTCAGACAAATAAATATCATATTAATGCAGAAACTATGCAATTGAAATTACAAAGAATATGACAAGACCACGATATAGCTACAGTTGAAAAAGACATGCTGAATTCAGAATGTACATGTACATATCGTTGTGCATGTACTGGTTGTAAGCAGCCACGACTTCCTTTACTAAAAGGACGTATTATTTTAACTGAACTATTTTGCTGGAACTCTAATGATGGTATTTGAAAATGATGGGGTGTTTTACTGGGGTTCTCAATTATTCGTAACCTTATTCAATATATATTTTAACTAAATAACTAAACAAACGAACGGCTGATTTTTTTCATAAAGTCTTTCATAAAAAATATACATTGCTGTTTATACAACTCAAATTCAAGTGAACGAAAAAGCTATTTCACTTTTTTTTAATTTAAAGACTACTTACTATGTGAAAACAGTTGTGTCGAAAAATAAGTGAAATACATGTATATTCACTATCACAAATGTAGTTATATCTTGAAAGATATCAAATGGTGGGTAATAAGTACATTTGAAAGCTGGATTTGTCCAAGGCGTTACAAAAGGACTATTCGCTGGCAACAGAACCAAAAATCTGCAAACACAAATACACCACCATCTAAAAAAATCAAATGATACTAAGCAAAATATGTATATAGACTGTCTAGGCCCAAAGCGAATTCCCGCCAGGTGAGCCTGGTCTAAGCATGGAGGAGTTATGTCCCTTTATGCATTATGGCTACCTCGCCGACGCTTCTGCAATCTTTCATGGGAAAGAAATGTCATTATGTTTCCCTCGCTTTCCCCAATTACGTGACCTCGCCATCAAAACAATAGGTCACTCAAAAGGCAAATGCTGACCTATGAGCCAGTCTCGTCCAACTGGTATCAATATGGTTAAAATGAGATCTTTCACTCTAATACAGTCCTTCCTTACCTGAAGATGTCCACAATGAGTGAGTTAGCGTGTTTAGTTTTAAACCGCACTCAACAATATTCCAGCTATCCGATTTAGAATTATTCTTCAGCAATCCATACTTGCGACTAACGGGATCGGGTGGTCAGGCTCGCTGACTTGGTTGATACATGTCACCGTATAGCAATTACGTAGATCGATGCTCATGATGTTGATCACTGGATTGTCTGGCCCCGACTGGATTATTTACAGACCGCCGCCATATAGCTGGAATATTGCTGAGTACGGCGTTAAACAACAAACCAACCAACCTTTGGTTGAGAATGATGCGTACCATAGTTATAGTTTGGTCACGCCACCCCAATATAATTATGCATGGTGTGCTTGCTTAGTTTTCATCCCCACAGTTGCCATGGGAACGAGCTGATGGGGAATGAATGTTGCAACATGCGGCTTGGCTGACTGCACATAATCTGTATAAGATGGAATGTGAAGGGGGAGCACGAACTGATGAAAGCTTTTGGACCCACACACCCACCTTGACAGACCTAAAAACACCAGAACCAATCTTGAATTCGAACCCAAGACAAATCACTAGGGCTGTAACGATGCATCGAACTATCGATGGATTGCAATTGTTGAGTCTCCGATAGCAATTATTCGATGGTAGAAACGAAAAACTATCAATAGTATGTGTGACTATCGATAGTTTAGTAATTGACTTTCGTTGATAAATGTGCGGCGCAAAATACAGGAAGTACCAGATTCGTTCACTTTGATTTAGAGTTATCCGCCCCTGTTACCTCTTAAACAAACTTGATTGTTTACTTGATCAGGGTTTCAAGTTTCTTGTCAGTTATTAAAAGAGACTGAAACTATTTAGGCTGACCTATTGTAATCGTTCGGATTAATATTATTATTATTTATTATTCCGTCGATTTTTGTACCAAACATACCTCCTAAACCAATGCTCCGAATCGCTTACAAAAAATCACAGAGATGCCCACCGAGATGAAGATATTCCCCTTTACAATCTCTAGGCTCTAGGCCCAATAGCAAAGGGGAGATAATTTAAAATTAATTCCAAAATTTCAAAGTTTGACAGCAAATATCTCAAGAACTAATCGTTTCAACACTTCCAAATCTCTTGTGCAGATGCACAATCGAATTCCAAACAATTTTGCCTGGACGGGTCAAGTCGCTAAAAGGTACCATTTGGCAGTTATTTTTGTTTTCAGTTTTTTGCCATGTGTACATCACCCCCGCGACCCCGGCTGAATTTGGAAGATCCGCTCGCCTGTCAAAAACGTGTTCTGGCTCCGTTTTGGACGAATTTTTCATAACCCTCAAATACAATTCAAACACCCGTTACTCTCAAACCAACCGTCCGATTTCGACCAAAATGTACCTGTACAAGTGGGCTATTAGTGTCGATTATAACTACTGATTGCAGTGATGTATCTCCAAAGACAACAGAGGGACAAGTGAAATTATATTTTCCACACTTTAGTTGCTATCTTCATCGGTTCTCTAGAGAACACAATGAAAGTTATCCGTATGTATCTCAAACGTTAGCTGATCAGTTTCTGTTCTACGTTTGGTATATATCTTCTTCATGATTGTTAGAGGTAATTAAGATAGCTGTTTGAACAAAGGGTTCTTCTGTTTTGAGATTCATGATACCCAAATGATATTTTTTAATCTAAGAAAAAAAGGTTTCGTGATGAATTTATCAAAACTTAAAGACCTTCCAGTACATACGGTCGAAGAGCATTCGACTAGCAGTGAAATGATTTATATTAACTAAAACTATTACAACTTTCATCAAATATGTGACAGACACAATAGGCTAGATAGAACTAAAGCCAAGGAGCCCTCATCGTTGCTTGTAACTTCATTTCAACTTGTTTTTATTTCATATAAACTATACATTCATTTGAGGAATCTAGGAGAAAAAACTATTGCAATAGCATTGCAATAGTTGGTTACAATAGACTATCGGTATCGCAGTAGTTGTTTTCCCCTCAATAGTCATCCCTACAACTCACCTCGTCGTATTTCGCCGCTATGGGTGACAGAAGCAGCTGTGTTCATGTCTCATTGCACACTATTTAAGAAATACACTTCGCTCTACCACCATGTATAGTGTAATAAAACACACTTTTGCCCTGAACTATTATAGTTAAAGCACGAGGACGCTTGCGTCCGAGTGCTTTAACGTTATAATAGTTCAGGGCGAAAATGTTTTTATTACACTATACAGAATGGTAGGGCGAAGTGTATTTCTTTCTAAGATGCCAAATTTAATACTTTCTAAAGATAATTACGATTAATTTAAGGCAGAAAACAAACGACGGTGTCGGTGACCTAAATTAAGAATCCTCGCACAGGGCTAACTGGCGCGCTGTTCTATAGATGTGTCTGTCCCCTACATTAAGACGAACGTTACCAGAAAAAAACAAATGATAACAGTTTGATGACGGTTTACGTTGGGATTAAATATCTTCTCTGAATTATTTTAATTACATCTGTCATTAACGTAAACCATATGGGGCAATATGAACGTTGCATTTCTACTACCAGCGTAAGTTTAGATCAGTACATCCAGAGGAAGTTGAGTAGTCAAGCGACATTCCACAATTGCATTGTGGGAATGTAAACATTACGAACGTTACCGTGTCGCTGAAAACTTGTGAGTCGAAATGACACATTTTAACCGTCGTAAAACATAAACGTAATGTTTCCACCAGTGATGTTAGCTGCGTGAAGCAACAGCAAACCAAGAAAGTGGATGCAACGGTGTAGTTTACTGTAGGAGGCCGTACGAGGCGATGACAACTGACATGCATCGTGACGTCGCTTACATTGTGACGTAATGTAAAATGGTTCGATTACGAGGGGGCACACTAGAATGGCGCAGTGACGGGATAACGTCATTCAATTGTTGCGTCATCAAAAAACTATACCTTTATTGTCTGATAATGTATTTTTTTTTTCGATTGTTCTAACCGCTAGGCATCTTAGAAGGACGTATACTAACTCAACATAGTTAAGTAACCCCAATATGTATGTAATTATAGTTCTTATCATCCAAACAGGGTTCCACAGGAGATATTGCTTGTTTGAGATCATACGATATCTCCAAGGAGATGTCGTTTTGACAGTAGATTTTGTACAATGCCCTGACAATGCTATGACGTCATGATCTTGATGACGTCACAATGCTATGACATCGCTACACTGCAAGTCTAATGGTAGTACAGTGTTCAGAGGTGTACATTTTCCATTGAAAACTAATGAAGAGTGATTTTTGAAAAAGGTAAAAATATTTGTAACTTTTTCAACTCTTGTGGATATATTTGATATCAGTAGACACTTGGGTAACATTCTCTATATATGCCCAGGTATTTAGATATTCGACACTATTATTATACTCTACTCAGTAAGGGAAATGTGGCCCTGGAGAACATTAAGTAGTCAGAAAGGTAAAAGAAATACCTGAATATTTATATACTCACAACTAACACATGCACATATTCCACAAGGTGGGGTAGCCTAGTGGTTAAAGCGTTCGCTCGTCACGCCGAAGAACCATGTCGATTCCCCACATAAGTCAATGTGTGAAGCCCAGTTCAGGTACACCCTGATATTGCAGGAATGTTACTAAAGGTGGCTTAAAACAAGACTCACTACCTCACAAATTTCACCTATATATGTTTTAGCTAAACATCAGCAATAATACATTAATCATCAGCGTCAACAACTGATGCAAAATAGACCACTTCGTTGCCTAGTAACACTACTAAATTCGATGAGATGAGGTTAAATTGATCTGAAACATCTACAAGAAACTAATGCCTTGCAATTTCATTAAAACACGTCACGATGTCCATCTATAACGTTGTATACACAGACAGAATCAAGAGAAAACTCAAACCTTGCATTGTATTCCACAGCTTCAACCTTGTATAGTGCGTCTCTCACAAGACACCTAATATCCCGAGATCCTGTATGTATGTAGATATGCGTCAATAGATACTGTGTTAGGAGCAACCGCCAGCTTGTATTCATTAATCTGTCGCCATTTTTATGTGCATCCAACAGAATCAGGCCACGTCAGATCCCTGTAGCACTCATTTGTGTTGACAGTTGTATTCACAGAAATATTGTCTTATTGCCTATGACATACGATTTATCATTTCTTAACGTAAACATTATATAAATAGCTGTTAAGGACATTAACAAATTGAATTTTACAGACATTAATTGTTTAATGGTATTTGGAGTTGATGCATGAATCAATTCCAGAACGAACATATTCAACTGTCTTCAAAGGTTCGTCAAATGCAGGGGTGGTGGTGTAGCGTAGTGGATAAAGCGTTCGCTCGTCACGCCGAAGACCCGGGTTCGATTCCCCACATGGGTACACTATGAGAAGCCCATTTCTGGTGTCCCCCGCCGTGATATTGCTGGAATATTGCTAAAAGCGGCGTAAAACCAAACTCACTCACTCGTCAAATGCAAGCCCATCGCCAACCAGTGTTACAAAAGGTTGGACACAGTATAGCATGTATTAAACATATATGGATTAATATTGCACATATAGAGAGTCCCATCAGTCTTGCGGAATGCAGGCAACAGATGTGACCATTTTGAAGCTTTACAATATTCTGATTATGAGTAATGCATGAACACAGGATAGCAGTATACAAGCAGGACGTAAAGATGATTCAGACAAGATTTAGAATAGTACAAACACCGCTATGTATCTTCCGCGATGTTATAAGCTTTGAAAGCCACGTGACACAAGGTACGCCCTACAAAATGGTCCGTATTCTGTAGCAACGACATAGAGCATTACCACGGGAAAGGACATTTACTTCCTTTGGACACGAGTGAGACGACCCACAGCTTGGGAACCGACCAAGATATGACACATGAGCGCCGATTTAGAGACACTGCATCCCGTCTTCATACCGTTTGATTCCCATTCCGTCAATATCTAGCTGATATGGTTATGATACTAGCAACGTTTGTCTATCGAGGTCACCTGACAATGCGCGTGACAGTCGCCATTTTGTCCTTTAGCATTTTGTCCGGCTTGTCGTAGAACGCAGGGGAAAATCTAGTGTTAAGTGACTGGATTATCTGATGTCATTTTGACAACACAAAGCATCATAATTATTCAGTATGATTCAATCATGTTTGTCACTGGTTTCGACAAGGGATTTTGATTACTGTATGACTGTGTGTTAGACATTGATGAAGGACAGTATAACAGTTGTAATATTAGCATCAGGTAACGCAAAATGACGTATTTAGAAACAGACTGTCTGATCAATACTTGCTTATGTGCATGAAAATATCAAAGAAATATACTCATGCCAATACCCCCAACCTATTCATGAAATTGAAGGAGGCGGCAACCATTATTGGTATGGGTATATATCAGCAAAATGGTAAATTGTGGGGTGATGATGATTTGTATGCAGACGCATGTACAATGTGAATTAACCCCTAAAATTTGTCATGTACAGAATCACTGACACCCCACACCCCTGGTCCAAGTGTACAAAATTGGCGACCCCCAAACTCCCCAGAATAAACGGGTGACCCCACCCCACCCCTTAAAATCATCAGCACTGCCCTTAATATGAACGGTTTTCAGACATTAATATGAACTGTTTCAAAGTGAAAATGGGACAGGAAGAGTTGAAACTGAAGCAAGGACTGATAACAGGTAACTGTCTTGAAGCTCATGAGAGCGAGGGAGGTTTATACCATGTTTAAATACATCACGGCATGCCAGCTCAATGTTGGACAAAAGTCTGAATCTATGCAGATCTACTTAGAAGTTAACCACAATGACGAAACCCACGAGCAGGGCATGATGATGACACACCCCCTCAACGTAATCAGGACGAATCTCATTAGACGATATAACTGAGGTATAAAAGACAGTACACGTTTGGATTTGAAGAGATTATTCTGTCACATTATGTAATTACACAGACAGGCAGGTGTGATACTTGTACACATGACATGTTATTATGTCTGTTGATTGCAACATGTTATACACAAAAAATGAGCATGTATTTACAAAACCCAACATCTCTATATATACACACACAATGAGCCGTGAGGGCATCTGCAAATGAGCCAGCCGTTACACTTGAGTGCACACCCACCCGCTCTGACTGGGTTCGGTATCCCGGCTGCTTCGTTTCTTGGGAAGTAAACCCAAGTACAAAATATTGCACTTTTGATTGGCGATTGTACGCTTATAATTTTGTTTATATGTTTTTTCATAACCAGCAATGTATATTATATGTCATGAATAAGTGATAACTGTGTTTTAATTATGTTTGATTTTTTGGTTGCATGTGACCTTTAAGAAAAACAACAACGAAATGTTTTTGAAAAGTGTTTGAATGTGACTTACACCGCCTCAGTATTGTACGACGTCTATGGTATTTTGCCAACAAGGAAACAATGTTTGTGACACGGATGTCACAAAAACGTTAATATTTTTACATATATGGTAAGCATCGGGTGGGTACTCTCTTTTGTACGTCAGTTTATAAGTATCAGGTTATCTATCAGCGTTACTGGGTATCCAGTCTGCATGAACAGCATAGGCGCACCGTGACCAGTCCAAATGTCCATGCTTCGACTCGCATTGGACCACGTGTGCCAGATCAGATTGCAGCAGATATCTATGCCGTTATTAGGCTACGTATAGAGTGAGAAATTCTTCAAAGTTCAGTTTGCCATCTCCGTCTTTGTCACACTTGGCTATAAGGTCGTGTATCTGGATCTTGCTGAGTGGTTGACCTGCTTTGGACATGATGATCTGAAACTCTTCCTGGGTCACGTAGCCATCTTTGTTGACGTCATATACGTCAAATATACGTCTAACTCTGGCAGCGCTGTAACAGGATGTGAGGTTAAGACTTATAGTTCACGGCATTAACATTGATAACACATACCAAATTCATTAGTTGATATCACTACAATGACACTTCATTGCAATTCGTGCACGTCATCGTCATCATGACGTTGATATGGTTGTAGAGGCAGGGTAATCGATTGTAACTTTTTAATAACAATAAAATCAGACAAGATTTGTTTTGAGGGTAAATGTGTGCTTTATATGACTATTCTACTATTTCTAAATAGTTTTCATCCAAAAGTATCCTTTAAGTATCCTCTCCGACAATGAATACAATATATCATGTCAGCATGACAACAGGTTATAGCAATGGAGATTATGACTAAAACGGTGTTCCATCGTATAGATGTGACGGTTCATGTGTCACAGTGACTTCACAACTAGCTGTTGCATGCAGCATTCCACTCAAACATTCTCTAAATTCAGTATTGATGGACATGTCTTATGTCTAATTATTTCCGGTTAATGTAGACGATAACAGAGATGCAAACGTGGCAGATGAATGACATGCATTCTACGGAGTAGTCCTAAGCTATCGGATGTCAACTGGTCTATCAAGTCACCAATATTGTAAACCATGAAGGCCGGTATCACTCCAGATGTCTTCCCAAACTAGCTAACATGCGTTACCTGGGTTTATTGTTCCCCGATCCTTCATTTTAGCGTCATCAAACCTCAAACTATGCCTGGCATACACTATGTATGTACATATCCCAACCATGTGTTCTGTTATCAACTCACATAAAATCTGCCGAATCAGGGGGAGATAACCGTGGGAGGACTGCAAGGAACTCGTCCAGTGTGATCTTCCAATTCTCGTCGGTATCCAGCTGTACAAAGACTTTCTGGAAAGAAGTCCGTTGAACTACTGAGTAAACATAACTATAACAGATGGTACTTATGGAAAAACGAGCCTAAATGCCAAAAGGATGTCATTATGCGATAAGTATAATTTGATGTACTAATTTACTTTAGTCTCAGTGGTTTTCCACGGTTTATGGTAATATTGCCTCGGTAATCTCTACTGTATAAACAATTTACATACAGACAGGCTGACAGATGGGCGGACGGACAGTCAGATAAATACATAATGACATGGGTGAAATACGATTGAATGGGTATGATGAGATGAACTTACGGTAATGTCCGCTCTAGGCACCCTATGGCCACAGAATATCAACAGCTTCTCTAACTCGTCAATTGTCAGCGCGCCGTCTCCATCCCCACTTTCTGAGTCCACCTTCAGGAACATCTCAGTGTAGGCCATCTTTTCTTCGTGGGAGAGATGGGCCATGTTGGCCTAAATTGTATGCCACGGTAGTCTCGTGACGTCGGGTAGATGTGTGAATACTCTCGATTCGCGACGCCGGGTAGATGTGTGAATTCTCTCGTCTCAAGGTACCAGGTTAAGGTACCAGGGAGATATGGGAATGCTCCCCTCTCCAGATACCAGGTAGAAGTGTGAATACACTCGTCTAGTGATCCCGGGAAGATTCGTGAATACTCTCGTGTTGTGACGCCGGGAAGATGTGTGAATACACTCGTCTTGTGACGCCGGGCTGATGTGTGAATACACTCGTCTTGTGACGCCGGGAAGATGTGTGAATACTCTCGTCTTGTGACGTCAGGCTGATGTGTGAATACACTCGTCTTGTGACTGCTGTATGGTGTGTGAATATTCACGTCAAGTGATGAACTGGCGGATGCAGTATATTAGCTCCTGTTTGGACCAGGACACATCTCCACAATCAAGTAGCAACATCCTCGACCACATCCGTGTTAACATCCTTAGCGTCTAATCTGCTCTACAAACAGGATGTCCATATTTCCACATTAGGAGTGTGACTACAGAGATACGTTCAATACGTTCACTCTACTTTATCTATTTGTATACGTGTAAGGGGGCATGATAGGGCAGTAACAACACACGTCAGACACATTTAAACCAGTCAGACACATTTAAACCAGTCAGCTTTTGTGAATGATGCTTGGTTTTACGCCGCTGCAATATTCCAGCAATGAGACACCATAAATGGGCTTCACACATTGTGGGTGGAATCGAACCTGGGTCCTCGGTGTGACGAGCGAACGCTTTAACCACTAGGCTACCCCAACGCCCCTATGCTTTGGTGAGTGTGGATGACTTTCTGTATTGGTAACGGTGGAAAAAAATTATATTTTTCTGGTATTTTGCCAAGTTTCCGAAGGCATACTATTCCGCAGCCTACTGTAACGTGTACTCTTGAAAAACACGCAGTCGATATTGGAAAAATCTGATAAAAAAATACGAAGAGGTGTCGAATAAAGTCAACAAGGAAGCACTAGGTGTTACATTTCAGGCAACAGATGTGTATTGTAAAGGCGCAAATAACCTTCAAAACAACATGGATGTGTTGTTTATACTGTGAACGTATGATTTCTGTGTTTGTTTGTTGTTTAAAGCCGCTCTCAGCAATATTCCAGCTATTTGACGGCAGTGTGTAAATAATCGAGTCTGGACCAGACACTTCAGTGATCAGCAGCATGCGCATCGATATACCTACTTGGGATACGATGACATGTGTCAACTAAGTGATCCCCCCGTTAGTCGCCTCTTACGACAAACATGGGTTACTGAAGATCAATTCTAAACCGGATCTTCATGTCTTGAAGGAGATGATGTGATCAACAATAGGCCATTCCTCCAAAATGGATCTCTCAATGACAATTCGTCAAGTTATCGTCTATTCCTTCTGGGCGGTGGGGTAGCCTAGTGGTTAAAGCGTCCGCTCGTCACGCCGAAAACCCGGGTTCGAATCCCCACATGGGTACAATGTGTGAAGCCCATTTCTGGTGTCCCCCGCCGTGATGTTGCTGGAACATTGCTAAAAGCGGCGTAAAACCAAACTCAGTGAGTCAGTCAGTCTATTCCTTCTATCTGCAGCACATGGGCCAGTCCGTTAAGGTAGAGAACGTCGGCATACACGTCGTCCGATTACATCCCAGGCGTCAGGGCCGATGACTGGCCATTGCATTTTTGTGACATCTTGCTGCTGGAGATAGACAGTTACCATACGTGCACGTCTTGAAGATAGACATGGGCCAGCAGGGCCCAGAAATCAGTGTTTTGTGCTGTAGTACTATTAAAGCAAGTGTAGTTACTGTGGTTAGTGAAAATCAGTCTTATGAGATATTTGACGACTTTTCAATGAAGTGTTAAAACGACCTCCGTCTTAACTTGGGCGGAGGAATGGGTCTGTGCACGTGGTATGTTTTGGTTTCCACGCTGACCTTAGTCATAACTGATCAACCCTGGTCTTTCTTGTAACGATCGATCATAATGCATGTATGTAACTATCACCCATTAACGTGCGAATATGAGCTGAATCTCGGCAGGATAACGCCATAGGAAAGGACTGCCTGACTCAGTTTGGTTTTACGCCGCTTTTAGCAATATTCCAGCAACATCACGGCGAGGGATACCAGAAATGGGCTTCACACATTGTACCCATGTGGGGATTCGAACCCGGGTCTTCAGCGTGACGAACCAACGCTTTAACCACTAGGCTACTCCACCGCCCCTCCATAGGAACGGAATGATACCAGGGTCATGTTAAGCATAACTGGTATTTATGGACACAATATAAAGAGTGGGTACTATCAGCTCTATCTGGCACAGCAATATGCTAAGTTGTTGGACAATGTCAGACATTTGCATCGGCGATGGAATCCATCAGGGACATATTACTAAGGCAATAAATCAGCTCCATTAAGAAGGCTTTCCTGTCACACACTGCATCATATCACCGACTAAACGCTGACCCTGTGGCCCTGATATGTTAAAAAGCACATCCGAGAAAAGCTTGTCTATGTACCGTGTGTGCGAGATAGATAACTTGACGATAGATGTCAATGCGCTCTCTCACACTTTTTCTCTCTCTCCCGCTCTCTCTCACTCACTCTCACTTTATCGCTCTCCCGCTCTCTCACCCAATCACTCTCTCACACTCGCTCTCGCTTTTTCTCGCTCTCTCTATTTCACCATCTATCTCTTGTTCGCTCGCTCTCTTTGTCTCATCCTCTCTATCTCTCTCGCTCTCTATCGCTGTGTCTCTATCTTTCACTCCTCGCTCTCTTTCTCTCTCTTGTTCTCACTCTCGCTTTTACTCTCGCTCTCTTTGTCTCATTCTCTCTCTTTCACTCCCTCTCTCTCTCGCTCTATATCTCTCGCTCTCACTCCCTCTCTCTCTCTCACTCTGTCTATCTATCCCTCCCTTTCTCTCTTTATCTCCGGATTTAGTGATAGTCACAACATGCACACATAATTTAGACAATTGACCACTCAGGGTCACCTTAACTACGTATTACTCGACGCTTTTCAACGAATAGGGCCACGATTGCTCGCGCATGTCACAAACAAGGAAAAGGCATCGTTGTCAACACTTCTCTTGTTGCGTCACAGGAACTACGCGGATGTCTGCATATATATACAGCTCTCATCTACAACCACAACAACAACAACGTCGACAGCAACAGTGAAACTAACTAAGCAAGTCTGTAACGATGGCCCACTTATCTCAAGCAGAGAAGACCCTGTACGCTGACTTCTTCCTGAGAATGGAAGCCGAGCTGGGGAATGGAGACGCCGCCCTGAGTATAGCGGAGTTTGAGAAGCTGCTGCAGTCGCTGGGATTCAGATTCACCAAAGAACAAGTAGCGGTGAGCATGTGTTGCCGTTGTTTATAGTAGCAGGCGTTAGTAGTAGTAATAGTAGTAGTAAGTGTTAGTAGTAGTAGTCCGTAGTAGTAGTAGTAGTAGTAGTAGTAGTAGTAGTAGTAGTAGTAGTATCAGTAGTAGTTATAGTAATCGTTAGTAGTAGTAGACGTAGCAGTAGTAGTCGTCGTAAATAGTAGTAGTAGTAGAAGTCGTAAGTTGCAGTAGTATTCGTTAGTAGTAGTAGTCGTAAGTAGTAATAGACGTAGCAGTAGTCGTCGTAAATAGTAGTAATAGAAGTCGTTAGTTGCAGTAGTAGTCGTTAGTATAGTAGTAGTCGTAAGTAGTAGTAGACGTAGCAGTAGTAGTCGTCGTTGTAAATAGTAGTAGTAGAAGTCGTTAGTAGTAGTAGTCGTAAGTAGTGGTAGGAGTAGTGGGTGGTAGTAGTAGTAGTAAAAATAGCAGTAGTAGAAGTCGTTAGTAGTAGTAGTCGTAAGTAGTAGTAGTAGTAGTCGTTGTCGTTAGTAATAGTAGTAGAAGCAGTAGTAGTTGCAGAATCAATAGTTCTGGTAATAGTATATTGTAAATACCATCATCATCATTATCATCATCAGTGGTAGTAGTAGTGAGTGAACATCATTATCATCATCACTGGTAGTAGTAGTGAGTGAATATTGTCGGATGACGTTAGTTTACTCTATACATCATTTCTGTTGCAGGCTGAGTTTATAAAAACTGATACAGATGAAAACTGGAAGATCACTCTTGAAGAGTTCTTGGCTACAATGCCAAATGTGGCACCCCCAGGCTCTCCCCAGGCCATGTGAGTACACATGAAGTGTGTTGCCTTGGGAGTGGGAATTAGCTTTACTGCCTAACATCAGCCGTTAGCGTTTCTGATCATTTAATGTATCGCCAATCGAGTGACACGATACACCCCGTCCTTACAAATGTGTCTCCGTTCTGAAGCAGACAGCAAAACATCTGTCTGCAGACAATTAAATTTAGCAAGCAACCATCTGGTTTGTTATGAGATATAAATTACGTAATAATTACGTCACCGTGATATAAACTCGACACCGAGCTAAGACAGCAGACACTTTGTTCTTTGTCCAGTGAACACCGATTGGTTCTGAAAACCAAGGATTCTTTCATAACTGCCAATGATTAAAGAGGTAAAAGGGATGATTATGCACAAAGAACTGAGTAATCACTTTAGGTTACATATGGTCCAAAGAATATCAAGAGGTAAAAAATATATCTTCTGTCATTTTAATTCTGTAAATTGGGTGCGTTTCAGGGCAGCGAACATTCGAAGGAGGTTTGACGAGAACGACTTAAACAAAGACGGCTTTATTACATTTGATGAACTGAAGCAGGTGCTCGCTGACGCCAACCATGACAAAACCGAGGAGGAACTGAAGACATTCGTTAAGGACTTCATAAAGAATTGGGACGCTGACGGAGATGGCAAAATCGATTTTGAGGAGTTTCTGGAGATGTACGTGGAGACCGAATTGTGTGATGACAGTGATTGTAGTGATGATAACGATGAAGAGAACGAAGGAGAGAAGGACAGTGTGACGATGCAGTGTAACCCCGTCTTCATCCCTCCAAAATGATTTATAGGGCACAGTTTATAATTGTTCCTGGGTTTTTTTTTTCAAAAGTGTGTGTATTTGAGACTCTGAAGCTTTGTGACATATTCCATCATGGTTACTAGTCCACAAACATTGTTTAGGTAAAAAGAAAAGTGGACGGCGAATCGGAACTTATTAAGTCAACAGCACTTTTTAATAAAACACCGAAGGTGATCAAACGTCCTTATTGCATTTCTGTGTAAATAATAGATTAATGAAATGTATGTGCGCTATGTTCTTACATCTTAATTGTGTCGTTGCTCATATATAATTATTGTATGAGTGAGTGAGTTTAGTTTTACGCCGCTTTTAGCAATATTCCAGCAATATCACGGCGGGGGACACCGGAAATGGGCTTCACACATAGTACCCATGTGGGCAATCGAACCCTGATTTTCAGAGAGATGGGCAAACGCTTTAACCACTAGGCTACGCCACCGCCCTATTATTATATGCATATATAATACACATACATCCTTATGTCTGTATATGTCACTATCACACACTCACACACACACACACACACACACACACACACACATAGGCACGTACATAAAATGTTTGACGGGAGATGTACATTTCAGTGAACCGTTTTTTCGATCCTTTCATACTTTTAAGACAATAAAACGTCGTTAAACCATAAACTATGTGATGGTCAATATTTGTTGAAGTTATGAATGACTGACTGGTTTGGTTGATGTTGGTTGAGTGAGTGAGTGAGTGAGCAATGTTTTGACAACATTCCACCACTATCACCACGAGGGTACTTCGACGACAACGCAACAAAATTAATTAACAACGAGCAGTCTCATTCCAAATGGCAAGAGAAGGATCATCATAAGGTTCGAACCCACGATCATAGAAACCTGTTAAGCCGAAGGGGAATAACTCTGCACTCTTAAATTACAACCACAAAACAGTAACATTCCGAATACTGTAGTTTACAAGTAACGACATTGTAACAGCTAATATATGAATATTTTTGTAGCAATGTTGAGCGACTTGTATGTTTTATTGTTTCATATCGTGTTTTCTCACATCGACGATCATCCTTGGTGAAACATACAGATAAATCATAAGCATATCAGTGAGTGAGTTTAGTTTTACGCCGCTTATAGCAATATTCTAGCAATATCACGGCGGGGGACACCAGAAATGGGCTTCACACATTGTACCCATGTGGGGAATCGAACCCGGGCCTTCGGCGTGACGAGCGACTACCTTGACCACTTGACTAACCCACCGCCCCCATAAGCATATCAAGGCCAAGTATATTGAGGATGATTTTCGTCTTCAGTCAATATTAGTTAAAAACACTCATATTCTGGAAACGACCGAGAATTTATGAGCAGGGCTGTCATCACGAAATCTGACGTAGTAGTGGCTGAAGTCAGGGGGTATTCTTTAGTAGCTTACTACCCGTTGCAGGGGCGGTGGGGTAGCCTAGTGGTTAAAGCGTTCGCTCGTCACACCGAAGACCCGGGTTCTATTCCCCACATTGGTAAAATGTGTGAAGCATATTTCTGGTGTCACCCGCCGAGAAATTGTTGGAAAATTTCAAAAAGCGGCGTAAAACTAAAGTAACTCACAACTGCCCGTTGCCATGGTACCACCTGGCAACAAAACTGATGAAAACTAACATTTTCCGAACCCAGTTTAGCAGCTGGTTCATAGAAACCAAATATTTTTTAGTATTTGCCATCTATTATGTCTGTTAAAACAAATCATTAATAATTGTTTGTACATTCGCAGGGTTTAGTAAAACAACACATCAGCGTCGCTTGAGGCTTAGCACCACGCTAAACAAACTAAGCCGCAGCAAGGCAAGGGAGTTAAGTGACTATGAAGTGCACGATCGTAGTGTCACCAGTTGCTACTGCGAGTTAGCACCCTTACATGCTGCTCCTATTGACCAATCAGATTTCACTTCTCACCTCGCTAGTATCAGGGAGACTCTATAAGGGGGAGCGGTCACTCCTCGGAAAGCTCCTGAGCTATGCCTCGGCTCGTCACGTGACCAGTGCAGCCAATATGGCGGCAGCGTAGTTTTTAAGATTGAGCCCGGTTTATTTTCAACAGCTGATTACATACGCTGAGTGTTGTGACAACTGAAAACCTACATGTAGAAGATAAGTTACCTATTCTGTCACTTCATTTTAAGTCAAATACTTGTTATTAGTGTCAGTATAAGTACAGTAGCTTTGTAGTAAAGTTTCAAGTGGGCATGTTGTAGCTCACTGGCTTCAATTCTCAGTACACAGCGAAGAAAGACTAACTTATATCGCTAAAAACTTCTTTCACATATTCGTTTAATTTTTAGAAGGGAAATATACCTTTTGTTAAAAGGTGTTTGCAAGTAATAGTGATATTTTTATAACTAAAAAAATTTTGTTAGGGTGTATTTGAGGTGTGTGAAAAATATGACATATCGCCGATCTGCCATTGAAATACTACAGGGCGTTGTTTGAGTGTTTCTAGTTAGTGTTCAAAAACATCTTTCACATACACCTTCAATTTTTATGAGGGGAATATACCATCAGGTGAAAGTTTTTTGCAAGTAATAGTGATAGTTTTATTTTATTTTTTTTGTTAGTGTGTATTTGAGGTGTGTGAAAAATATGACATATCGCCGATCTGTTCTGGCCATTGATGCTTGTGATGCTTGAGTGTTATAGTTCTAAAACTTCTTTCTTTCTTGTTGATCTTAGTATATGACAAAACTGGAAAGGTGTTTTCAAGGCTTTGTGATAGTTCTAAACTTTCTGTTCTTGAGGGGTCTGTGACAGTGTCAGTTAACATTCTGTCAATGCCCATGTCATTCCACACATGCAATAAGATATCTGAATTAGTTACTAATGTAAAAAAATGTCTCAAAGTAGATTTTTTATAAAAAGGACAGCTGGTGTTAACATGTGTTCTACCGATAGTTTTGCGTTCTTTAACATGTTTGGGGAGGGATGGCCGTGGTGTATCATTTATTCTTTCATTCATTCACATATGTTCTTTTTCTTTTGTTCTTTTTCTTAATTTCTTTCATTCATTAACATAAAATTATTGCTCTTAATTCATTCATTCATTCATTGTAAAATTCCGACCTATACAATACACTGGCTGAAGTACTGTTAAACGCAGCCGAAGTTGCGCTGGGACCGAACCAAGTCACTGTGTGCTTTGGAGCATGACGAGGCACACGTTAATTAGTACAAATGGTAAAGAAAGCAAGCGAGTGACCTATCCCTGTTGTAGAGTATCCCTGCTAGTATATACAAAATGGCGTCGGCCTGTCATCTGATCCATATGCAAGATGGAAAAACCTCGTAGAGTGCACATGAGCACCGTGGTTAAAACCATGACAATATTTGGACATATGTGTCGATGCCACGTTTCACATGCTATGCAAATGATGCAATCGAGCGAAACGTGCACGGCAGTCGCCATTTGTGTTTGAAATGAATGCCCACTTCTTTACACGATGTTTACTTGACTTTAGACTCGTAAATCCTGTCCAACTTTTACAATCAGTTACCTCCCTTACTTCGAGAAGATGACACGCCTTGATAGAACTAATATAAACTACGTTTGAAATGAGCTTACAGTTTAAATCCTGGTTAATATTGGAGGCGGGTACACGCGAGTAAAGAAAACAAGAAGTACACAACAGTTGCACGACAGTGGTTTATTTTGTTTCAGCAAAATATGTCGCATTTTAACTGTAATATCACAATGCGATGTCAAACCGTTTTAGGCGTTTATAACACAATTCAAACATAATTCAACTCAAGTGTTTTATTTTAAACCCATCACAAAAGCCGCTATGTAAAACGGAAAGCACAGTTTCGAAACAACATGGACAAATAAACATATTTGATAGTGATATTGGAAATACTTGCAAGCTTGAAATTAGAGACAGGTAGATGATTGAATTACATTGTCGAAATTGAGAATATCATTGAATTGATTTCTACATGTAAAATGCACGTTTGTACAATCAGTTGACAATTTGGTTAAAAATGAAATACAGATATGCAGGAGTTTATTAGGAGAAGCTTCTCCACAGACATAAATAGCTGGGTAATATCCACGCCAACAGTGGTGATGTTGTCCCGTCTAAAAGGCAAGTCCGCCCATTCCCTGGTTTCCACTGTTACCGCCATTGTTCATGCCGGGCAGACCCTGGTTCATTCCTGGCAGACCCTGGTTCATTCCTGGCAGTCCCTGGTTCATTCCTGACAGACCTTGGTTCATTCCGGAGAGACCTTGGTTCATTCCAACAGCCATGTTGGGATTTTGCATACCAAGGGCACCCATTCCGAAACCCAACTGGCTCTGTGTGGCGAAAGGGGTGGTGGCAGACTGACTGTCGGAGCCGATCTTGCAGCACAGAGGGATGACGTCCATGCAGGTGGACCCAGAGATCTGGCGAGAAGGACACAAAGCAAGTCCACGGCCGGTTAGCTCATCAAAGGTCATACTGTCGATGGTTTCAGAGGAAGTGGCTGTCTGGCCCTGGAAGATTGTGACGGGGGTGCCCACGATGCCGCGGGGAGTACGGGACTGGCTCCACCAGGAACGGTCTGTGAGGATGTCGCCGAGGGCACGGCTGGAACAGCCTTCTTCAACGCGGGAGCCTTCAGTAACGACGAACTGGAACTGCCCCTGAAGAGTGGAGGAGGTGCTGGCGGAGACCACGGCAGAGAGACGGAGACTACGAGGGCCGCCGAACTGGTTGCTCCATGCTGACTGGAATCTGTTGTTGTTGTTGTTGTTGCTGCCGAGGCTGAGAGTGACCCTCATCTCATCCCCGTTGGAGTTCTTACCGATACAAGTCTGATACAGCGTGGGGTCCTCCGGGAACATCCCTCTCATCCCTGCACCAGCAGAAGCCTGCTGACCCCATCCTCCAACCTGGGCTTGCTGCCCCATGCCCCACCACTGGGCGTTAGCGTGGTGAGAGACGACAGCCATGACGGCAAAAACAGCGACGACGAGTTGAGAGACCATGACTGCTGAGATGTACTACGGATGACGGACCGAGTAGTTGTGACTGGACAGCGGTCAGTTGCCGTTATATTGGCCTGGGTATGGGGAGTGCTGTCATCATTACATTGCCTTGAGGGGTTTGTCGTTCAGCGTTAAGGAAGTAAGGATCTAAAGACGCGTAACGTTGTAAAGTAATCACTCAGACCGGCTGAATATCAATTTGATGTCTCTAATCCACAAGCTGCTCCTACTCCTAA